TCTTGCAAATAATTCACAAATACTATCCCTTCAAATAATTGGCAATTTGCAAATGCATTTGCTCTAAAATTTAGTAATAAAAATGAAAAAAAATAGGCTTTTTTTTAAGAAAAAAAATAAGGCTTTCTGTTTCTAATAAATATGAGGCGAGTTGCATTCGAATTTGGATTTTATTTAATTATTGCTTTGGTTTTAGTGTATGCACATGCGAGTACAACAAATTGTTGGAAAAAAAGTAAGTTTATTTTTAACATGATTTTTATTGCAACTGCTGCACGCGACGATCGATCGATGGCGATTTAGAATTCAAAGCGCGATCCGGCTTCAAGCCAGACCAAAGGTTCTTATACATACAGTGTCTCGCAGCTTATTTCGGCAGTGTCTAGCAAAAATTTTAATTGCCTGCCATAAACTAATAATACAATATTTTTCAAAAATTCCAAAGACCTATGGCAGGTACATATATTAACCACCATAATGACTATATGACCCCCATAAACTGGGGTTTTCCCGCCGGCTGGGCCGGGTTATGTAAAAAAGTACCTTAATTTATGGTCACAGCTTATTTTCAACAGTGACATTATGGACACCTGGGTGCCATAAAACCCGGATTTTTTACGTAATGTTGATTATTTTCGGTATAAATAGACCAATCCTTCATAGTCAGTTTAGTTATATCCTGCATCTCGGGTGCAATCAGTCAACAAGGACTATGGGCAAACGGACTACCATTGAACAACGGAATCTCATCCTGGAACACTTAAAGATTGGATATTCACATCGCCAAATAGCTAAAATGGTAAATCTAAGCACCACAACTGTATTCAACATCATTCGACTCTTCGTCGACGAAAATCGGATAGAGGACAAGGGCAGAAATGCACCAAACAAGATTTTCACCGAACAGGAGGAGCGGAGGATCATCAGGAAAATAAGGGAAAATCCCAAGCTATCGGCTCCAAAACTGACTCAACAGGTGCAGGATGAAATGGGGAAAAAGTGCAGTGTGGAAACTGTGCGCCGGGTTCTGCGCAACCATGACTTTAATGCCCAAGTACCACGGAATAAGCCCTTTATAAGCGCCAAAAATAAAGGGACTAGGATGGAATTCGTCAAAACCCACTTGGACAAGGATTTGGAGTTCTGGAACAAATTCATATTTGAAGATGAGCCCAAATTCAACATTTTTGGCTCAGACGGACGGACTTATGTGTGGCGACAGTCCGATACTGAGCTGAATCCCAAAATCCGAAAGGCAACAGTCAAGCACGACGGAGGAAGTGTCATGGTATGGGCATGTATCTCGGAAGCCGGCGTGGGAAATTTGGTGTTTTTTGAAACAACAATGGACAAGAGTGTGTATTTCAATATATTCAAGGAAAATTTACTCCAAAGTGCCAAGAAGCTAGGAATCCGACGTACTTTCCGGTTCTACCACGACAACGACCAGGACAAAAGCCAAGCATAAGTCCGAATTAGTACAGTCCTGGCATATCTGGAACTGCCCCCACACGATAATTCCACAGGCCCAGTCTCCAGACTTAAATGTCATTGAAAATTTGTGGGCTCTGCTGGAAAATAACATCCGGAATCGAAACATATCCAGCAAACAGGATCTCAAGAATGCTCTGCTGGAGGAGTGGAGCAAAATTAGTCCAGAAACGACCCGGAAGCTGGTATCTTCCATGAACAATAGGTTAAGGGGAGTTATTAAGGCTAAAGGATATCATACTAAGTATTAACATCCTTATTTAAGTTTTTATACGCCAAATATGTTACTTTTCTCTAGACTGTTGAAATAAGCTTTGACCTGTATTTTGGATAAGTTTTCAGTTTTTGACTAATTTTAGTTAATTAATTAATATTTTAATGAAAACTGAAGTTTCCTTTTCAAACGTGATATAACATAAAACAAATTGACATTTAAACATTTTGCGTTTGTTTCTTTGTTTAAACTTTATAGCACTTTAAAATTTTTGCTAGACACTGCCGAAATAAGCTGCGAGACACTGTATATTTTATGCCATTCGATTTTCTTTTCTTTCCTCATCTCCTTTGCAGTTCCAGTTAAATTGTTTTTCCTTATGGCTTCGTTTTAAAATGTTCCCTCGATATTTTTGTATACATATGCACGTATGAGTCTATATGTATATACATATATATATATGTATGTCGTTGGCCATGTGTGCGGAAAATTGTTCGATTTGGAATGCATTGTGCGGCTTTTCACGCTTCGATTTCCATGCACGGCCTTGCGGCCCATTTCTGGCTATTGGCCATTTGTAATTGAGACATTGCCCAAGTCCCAAAAAACAAAAAAAACGAAAAAAAACAAAGAAAACAACAACAACAAATAAGATATAGACAATTGAAATAAATTTCCAGACACGCGTGTTTTCACGTTTTGTTTTTTGGCGCCTTTCCCACTGTTCTCTTTTCGCTTTATTCAATTTTCATTCTTTATTCATGATGCTATTCATTCGAATGTTTTTTCTTTTTTTTATAATGCCCCTTTTTTTAATTGAAGCGCATTGATTTTGATTGCTGTTCTGCACTCTGCTCTATAAGGCGCATGTGTGTGTCTCTCTGTGTGTGTGTGAATGTGTGTGTGTGTGTCTGTGTGTGTCTCTCTGTGTGTGTGTGTGTGTGGTTTGTGTGTTTATGGTTTCGGTTCATTGCACACACAACTCTGACGCGTGCTGCTTAATTTGAAAATTGCGCCAGCCACGTTCTTTTGTGCCTTTGCAATTTGCTATTTGCGAAAGTTGCCTATTTTAAAGCGATTTCCATATACCTATGTAATTAATAATAAATTATTAAAAATATTTGGATTCCATTTGGATTTAAATTATTCATGTTTTCATAATAAATTGCCAAATTTGATTATATTTTAAGTCGACTTTGAGTTTATATTTTTATGTATGATTGATTAATGTAGATTAATGCAATAAAAAAAATGGTTGCAAATTTTATAAATTTTTTTCTTATATATCGGATTTATTAGAAATTTATTACTATATATATTATATTATAATAATAAAAAAAATGCTTTTTAAGATTTTTTTTCTGTATATACAAAGTATATCTAAAAATTAGCAAAACGTACTCATTTTCAGGACGATTTTTCTACATTTTATGGGTATTCGTTTTTTGTGTATATTAGATAAAGTATATATATATATATATATTTTAGTATAGAACTTTAGTCATTGTTTATTTTTTGAGAACTGAAAAATGTAATGTTGATAAGTGCCAGCTTTTTTTCTTCGAATGATTAAATATTGGAAAGTTTGGCTAATTTTTTGGAGACTTTATCAGCAGCTGAGTCATATTTTTCTTATTTTCTTTCGCATCCATTCGCATTCTCTTTCGAAATTATGCATTTAATTTCTTTAATTTATTGGCGAAATTGTATGGGCATTTTTGGAACTTATTCATTCATTTTGTGGAACGAAATGCAGATGGAAGAATTCAACTTGAGACGGAGAGTGGAACGTGACGTGTGCGCGGTGGGAGTCTGCTGAGAGATAGAGATAGAGAGAGAGGGAGAGAGGGAGAACCTGTTTGCTCTCTTTGCGCCTTGTTATGTTAATTGTTATTAATTATACATTTTATATGCATACAACGAGAATGATGACGGAATCGATCGACTATGATGTCAGCACTTTACAGCCATATATTGTATAGACAACCAGAAAAACGAATAATTCTCGTAAAGCTGGTGTATTTCATTTGGGTTGCGTGATAAGATCAAAATTTTAAATGCTTACACTAGCTAACAGACACATTCCAGTTGAACCTTGAACCGCTGGACTGGGACTGGTTTTGAAACTATTTTCAAATTGTGTGCGAATCATAAACGAACACAGTAATTGACCTAGACTTGGACAATTGAGAGCGATATTCAGAAAACTATGAAAGCTATTCCATATCGAAGTTGAAATAGACTTCCATCAGATTTCAAATATACAAAATATTGAATTAAAACGATGCTGAAAATGCCACAAGTTGAATTTCGCTCAAGTATTAAATTTAGATGTTCAAAGCATTTAAGTGAAATTGAAAGACTGGTTTTTGGTCGAGGGCTTCCGCAGTTTTGGTGCCACTAAAGGTGGTTGCCCAATACCATCAGATGCATTGTGTGCACCCTCGACGGTAAGGAGTTCTTCGTTCTTCGTTCTTGGTGCTCTGTTCTCTGTTCTCTGTTCTCCCTTTGCCCTGGGTTATTGTAGTATATACAGTAATAGTAGTACATCATGGCACGCACATTGACAGCTGTCATTAGCATTCATTGCGGAAGCGCGGCAAAAATCCATTGAAGGGTCTGTGGCACTCGGCTGCTGGGGTGCAGTAAATGGGCCTTCATTAAAATTGAAAATAATAAAACGGAAAATAAATATAAGCAATGAACAACTGGCGGCCGCAAACGGCAAATCAAACACTTGAAAGTTGATTAAAAACGGCCCTGCTACTTCTTCAGCTACTGCTGCCACCATCCCTGCCCCTGCCCCTGCCCATGCCCATGCCTTTGCCACTAGCACTGCCACTGCCATTGCCACTGCCGCCCCACACTACCGCTGCCCACATGCAACAATTTGACGTTTGACTAAAGTAAAATCAGCACAGATGCGTGCAACATGAAAACGGCGGGCTTAAACTCTCAATGAATGATGTTGCTCTCAATCAAAGTGAATGCAAAGTGAATAAAGTCTGGCAAATGGAACTCGGAATGGGGTATTCAAGTGTTGATATAGGTCAGTTGCTTTGATCTTTTCTACCTAATCACAGAGCTTGCCACATTCTAGAGAAACCACAGAGTATTGTGGAATATGTGGAAATGTCTGCAAAACGAGCCAGAAACTTTCATTATAAATGTATACACTTAAGACTTGAGAGAAAACTGATTTGAAATATGAAATGTTCAAGACTTAGATGCAATGCAGTTGATTTTACATTCGATTTTGAAAATCTTTAATCCATAATATTATTCTCAATTGCAGATTGATTGTGGGTGCGCCCAAATTCGATACATCCACCTATCAGGAGCGCATTAAGGAGGCTGGCGCCGTCTTCAAGTGTACGATGAATGATGATGACTGCCAGTTGGTGGCATTCGATTCCAAAGGTAAGCGAATAATAATAAGTCAACCCAATTGAACTCTCGGCTTGGGAAATGGGTTTGGCGCCATTGAAGGGCCCAAAGCGCAATCTTCACGTTACAGTCTCCCAGTCGCCCAGTCGCCCAGTCTCCCAGTGTCGAACACAGTCTCAGTCTCAGTCTCAGTCTCAGCATTAGTCTCAGTGGCTTTGTGTTGGCGCCAGTGACAAAAGCGCCAAATGCAATTAGTTATTTATGGCTCACACGCATGCGCAGCGGTTTTTAGTATGCAAAATGCGAGAATTGCGAAAATGCAAAGCAGCAAATGCGGCAGAAGCAGCAGAAATTGCATAAAATTACGCACGGCTGCCGTTTATTATTTTTAGAGGTTTTCCTTCTTTTTTGTTGTTGTTGTTGTTTCTTGTCATTTCACCGGGCATGAACTTCCTTAAGCGCAAACGGAAATGATAAACAGGCGGCCTCTAAAATAAACAGTCGCCCATTTTCAAGGTCCTCCCCAACCAACCAACCCGCCCAGCATATCCATCATCCTACCAACTAAACTAAACTGTAGCCACAGTGAGGCTTGTCTCCCCTCGTCTCCCCGATATGCAGCCAACGGATGCGCAAATAAAAATTATTCGCCCCGTCGACGATGACGATGTCGATGTCGATGTCGATGTGAATGTGCATGTTAATGTTAATGTTAATGCTGATGATGGCAATGTGAATGCAATGGAGTCTCACTCAAGTGGTGTGCTGCCGAGTGTTGGTGTGATGTGGTGTTGAGTCCATCTTGGCGTGCCTTCCTATAAAACAGACGAACTTCTCCTCAACGAACTTCAAGACAATCGATTGCATTTTTTTTTTCGTTGGGTCATACTTGCTATTAAGCAATATGAAAAATAATTGCTACAATGCTAACCTATGTGGGAGAAATCGAAAGAATTAAATAAAAAGTTATGCAACATCAAGAGGAAGTCTTAGAAATTAATGTACAAAGTATAAATTAATTGATCAATGCTTGAAGATAACTTCGAAAGAAATAAAAATTTCAGAAATTTGAGTTCCTGAATCCAACCTTAAAACTATATATATTTTAAATAACTATAACAACAGTAAGATTTGTTGTAGATACGTTAGTCAAATTGAAGTTAGACTGTTCAATCAAAGAAGTGGTTCGCTTTATTTAAGCTTGACTGTAAGCTTAAGTTTTTTTGCCCGTTAAATGTTGGTGGCATACGGCAGGCGTTACCTGTCGACAATGTGCTGGGCATCTGAGATGCCCAGCCATAAATATGCAATTTGATTTTGCGGCTGCTGCCTGCAACTGGCTGGCAACACCTCAAAAATCAAATTGCTGACGCGTGCTCAGGCCCGGAAAGCAAAGGATTGCGAACTGGGAACCGGGGCAAGAGGCAACTGAAACTGGTCACTGGGGTGTTGATGGGCAAGTCCCGAGTGAGATCCATAAATTGATCGGCTAAGTGCCTGGGTTAGTTTAGTAATGCTACTCTTATGCATAGCGCCAAGCCTTTATCAACAAAATGTTTAAATGCTCGTCTCAACTCTTATATCGTATGCTTGCTACAAAAAACAACAAAAAATATATATAACCAAAAGGAGTCAACAGGTGCTTCATTCAGCTCGCAGGTTGGTTCGCTCATCCATTAGAGATCATGCACACACACACGCACACACACTGGCATAACTAGAAATTAGTCAATGATATATTTAAACAAAATGCATCTGATTCATGGCAAAAATGATTACTCATCTTAATTGTAAATAATCAACTACTCATTGCCGCAAGCGTAATTGCTGAAGTCACCAAGCAAAATGATTTAATCTTTATAATATTTTTGTCAAATTTTTAGTCAATTTTTTTGTCGATTTGTCTCGATGTGTCACAGGCCTGCAGAAGAGATTAGATTTTAATTTGTGTTCGAGATGATTTAGTTTTCGACTATTGTACAATAACATTTAATTGTTATAATTGTTTTTATTGATTTCTTAAATACAAATTTGTGTTTTCAAAATGTTTTGAATTTACTCTTGTGACAGCAATATATATATATATTTGATATTTCTATATCATATTTATTTTATTTATATATTTTATATTTATACTCGTATCTCATTTGAATATATATTGTCGCATCGCACCCCGAAAATGTTTGTTGAGTGTCCCTTTTATTTTCATATTTCATTTGTATATTCAATTAGTAATGGTTCAATCATAATCATACCTATATATATATACTATATACTATATTCCTGCTTCCATTAAATACACACTTCAAGCGACATTTAATGTCCTTGTCATCATTTTGCAATTATTTGTAGCAATTTGTGTGTCCCTCATTCAACCGCACTTCAATCAAATTATGTGTATGTGTCTGTGTATGTGTGTTGGTACTTCAATCATCAGTACAGCACCCTGTAAGCAATTTTCACGTGTATTATTTCGCTAAAGGCCGCACATCCCTCAGAGACCCTCGCAGGCCCTCAGAATGTTTATACCGTAATAAATCATTGCCAAACATCAACGGAAGTGGCCATTATGCCGTTATTTGCCAAGTGTCTTGTTTAGCGCAACTTAATTAGTTTGCTTTTATTTTTTTCATTTTTTAATTTTTTCTTTTTTGCCTTTTTGCTTTTCTTGTTTTCATTTTCTTGGTCTTCGCTTCCACTTTAAAATACATCTGTATCAATTTCAGCAAATTTTTCATTTCCGTCGTCGGTTATTTTTTTTTTTTTTTTTTTGTCTCTCCCTCTTTCTGTTAAATGTGCGACGCTTATGAATTAAAAGCACCCGATTTTTGTTTTTTTCTTCTGATGATTTTGCAAGCTGAAAACTATCTACTGATTGGGTCCGAACTATATCTAATTTGCTCTCCATCCATTTCTAGGTAACAATCGCAATACATATGGCCAAATCATCGAACGCAAGTCATTTCAGTGGCTTGGTGCCACTGTGGCCACCGGACGGGACAGCGACTTGGTTGTGGTGAGTATCTCTCCAAAAAAAAAAAAATATTGTGTGCAGCACTCGTATTTTCGCAAAATATTATATTGAAAATGCCAACAACAAAAATGACCAAACACTTTTAAAATGTCTGCCATTGATCAAATTATGCCAAGGTGGACTCCTTATATGTATATATCTATATACTCGTGCCGAGCTGGAAGGATTCTTCATTGAAAGTCGTTCAACTTTCTAGTCGCTTACAATTTATTTATGTTTGCCGCTTATTAAAAATCCACTTCTCACATTTTAATCTTCGTCGGTAAGGTTTCATTAACTAAATTCTGTAGCTTCAAGGCTTCATCAGCAACTGGCGGACTGATGAGTTGCTAAGTATTCATCGTTCTAGAGCAAGTAGGACAATGCCCTGAAGTCCTTTACAGTTGTAATGATAGTAACTTTTATACACTTGATTTGCTTGTGACGCAATAGGGTTTTCCCATCTGTCCAAACAATACTAATGTAATTTGAAAAGTTCCACAATTTTATTGAAAACTTGTAAATTAACTTCATATAATCCCCATCAAGTGGACAAGAAAACTGGGAAAGTTGTCAATAAAATGAAATAGATCTGTACTTCACTGACACTGACAGTTTCCTCTAAATACATTTTAAAGGGCCGAGCTTAATTCGTAGTTTCTTAGTGAATGATTATGTAGACCTAGTTCTTAACTGGGAACCATTTGAATAATATAAATTGGATAATCAACCCACATCCAAATTGCATTATTTATCGCTTGGCAATGTTGTAAAACCAAAGATTAATGTGGCAACAAAACCGAGACTTTTATTTTCAACGACGACCGCCCAGTCAGCCAACCAACCAACTGACTGACAGACAGACTGACTGACTGACTGACCCACCAGCACACCTCTGGGTCTCTGACACCGTTCAGTCCGGTGATTGTCTGATTTTAGTGTGCATTGATGTCATCATCGCAGAACGCGATTGCTTGTCAAATGGGCAACAGCACATCCCAGGGGCTCATTGAAAGTGCAAGCGCAGCCCAGCCGGCACAGACCAGCCCAGACCGGACTGGGCCAAGAGATGCCATCAGAGCAGGTGGGCGTCAAGCTCAAGCTCAAACTCAAACTCAATCTGAAATTGAAAACTATTAGCTTGAAAGAAAAATCCGAAATGACATTTTTTATGACAATGCCGTAAGCCAGTTTCGTTTTTTTTTTTTATGTCAACTGCGGTGGGTGTGCAATGCCGTTATACTAATGCACACACATGTGTGTCTGTGTGTGTGTGTGTGTGTGTGCATACTATATCCATCCATCTATGTTTTTGTTTATGTTTATTATTGCTGTAGCTTTAGATACTCTTATACCCTGCACACATCAAAATCGGGTATTTTTTAAAATTATTTTACAACAATTTTGTTGCTTTTTTCTTTTAACTTTAATAACAATGCCAAAGAATTTGTATTTGTGAAGTGAAAGTGAAAGTCATCATCAAATTCTTTAACAATTGCTCCAAAATTTCTTGAAAATAATAATGATTTATGCTAATAATACGAAAATGGCAAATATCGATTAACTTGTTGGCTTATTATAGCCACAAGAATGTCTGCAGAGCAGATGGTTTAGTTTAGTTTCGGATATGGAGTATCTTGTAGTCGAGCACACTTCAAAAAGAGCTATCATATTTGTTATGATTTGATGTAAGGTCTTAGCGACAACAATTGGAGCAACAAGACAGTTAAAGCAATATTCTGAATGCGTTTTGAATTTGATTTAAAAGCGTGTTTCTGTTGTTGTTGTCATCTTTGTGGTCGCTTTGAACGTGGTCGTTTCTTGGATTGCGTCAAGTAAACCACACTCGCGCACACACACACACACACACACACACACACACACACACACACACACACACACACACACACGCAGAGTGGCAGTTAGCAAGTATTATACACTGTGCGCTGTTTAAGGTGCGCCACAGTCGCAACTTTGGTTAATTGCGTTGGCGTTGCTGGCCAAGCCAACAAACTTAAAGATATGGCCACGGCTAAGCCACCCACCTAACTGGCCAAGAGAATGAAAGAGAGAGACAGCGAGAGAGAACGAGGGAGAAGCGACCGAGGCAACATTTGATTTTCACTTTAGTTCTCAATTAACTTTGATTTGGCCCATTTGATTTGGCAAGCATACCAAGAGCCGTTAACATTGATGGCCCCGCCACGGAGCCCATTGTTACAGTTACTGGTTGCTTTGGTCTGGTCTGGTCTTGTTTTTGTGATTGTTGTTGTTGTTGTTGTTGTTGCAGTTAACTTTTTGTTAGCCATCCATGTCCATGTCCATGTCCATGTCCAGGTCACTTCCGCCACGCGCGCACCCAGTGCCGACCTGGCCTTCAAATGGCCATTAACAGGCCATCGATTTATGTTTGCACCAAGTGGGCAACGGGACCTGAACTACATCATCATCAAAATCACTCACAACAACAAAGCATTGTGCAACATTTGGGGGCATATTGAAGTGAGCTGATTGCTAAATTCGATTACCTGCTCGCTGCATACTAAAATCGAATTTCGTCGAAGTCGTTCGAGAATTCGAAAGATATTTCAAAGAATTTTTGGCCAATATCATTTTTTTAAATCAACCTCAACTTAATGAAAGGTTATTGCTATTTATTATTAGTCAGCAGTATGATTTTTTGATCTGCAAATATATATTTATATAGATAGATGCTTGCTTAAGAAGTATAATAAATTATTTTTTAATTGTATTGTGTTTTTACTATCAACTATTAAAATCGATAAATGAAAATCACAAAAATTAAAAATAAAATCAAAGTTGAAATTAAGAAATAAATGCAAAAGAAAATTACAACTAAATAATACCAATAATAAGAACTATCCTCTCTCCGTGAAACCTTAAGTCTGCTATAAGACTGAATAAGTTATTTGAGAGACTTGCAGATATAAATAGTTCCCCATTAAGCTCGTAAAAAGTTTTGAGCAAAATTATTGTTTTGTTTTCTGAGCATTTGTTCGATGCACATAAAATTTGAAAAATTCATTTCTACGAAATATCCGATTAATTGGACAAGCCTCATATGTTTTATTGATGGCAATTCCATTTGGTATATCGCCCAGTTTGGAGGTTGGCCATGAAAATGAACAGTTTGTTTTTGTGTGTGTTGTTGTTGTTGTGTGAACTGATGAATGGGAGTCATCTGAGCTAAATGCGTTGCAAGGTGAACCCGATCGACAATTGGCGATTGGATGGTGTTGTTGGGAGTGGTACGTTATACGTTGTACATGGTAAGCTGTACGTTCTGTGAGTGGATTGTGGCAGTTTTGCCCTGGGGCTCTGTGGCTCTGTGGCTTTGGGGCTTTGGGGCATGTGCCGCATGTCGTGCGGTCTCGTTTCATTTTTGTTTGTTGTTGCCATTGCGACATGATCATCGACACGATCTGTGAAATTGCCAGCGCTATTGAACTCAAATATGGCCGGGCAGACTGGCAGGCAGCCAGGCAGCCAGGCAGCCGGGCAGCCGTGGCAGCCAGGCAGCGCACAGGCCACGGATCGGGGCTCTCCGATCTGTGGCGATCCTTGCGAAAATTTTGCATTCGCAATGATAACGTCTGCATGTCGACCATGTCAAACGTGTTGACTTTTGACTTTTGCTGTTTGTTGTTGTGTGTGGCACCCAACAACGTGCAACGGCGGCGGCTCCGTTCTCTGTGCGCGTCTACGAAAGTGCAGTTTAATGTCTCAAAAATTTATCGCTGGCATTTCGGTATGCGCTCTGTGCCCAACATGGGCACAAACATACCCACAGACAAAGATGCAAAACAAAAAAACCAAAAACAAAAAAACAAAAATGAAGAAAATAAATAATAATAATACATAATATGAAAACTATTTAAAAATAATAGTATGCATGAAAGCACCGTTAAGGAGTGCTTCAAATGTAGCCAGACTAAGCATTTTTAGTCATGCTTCAAGTTGAACTTAAGATCCCTGAGACCTCTATATTGATTTGTATGTATGTACCTACAGATCACAAGATTGTGTATGAATATACATAAATACGTTTGAATTTATGCAATAATTTTAATTTATTTGAATTAAAATATTTTGCTGACTAGTTGAATTATTTTGTGAACATCAAAATCTAATTGGCATAAAATTTTATCTTAAAAATCACAAATTGTCTCTGGCCGCTCAAAGATTGTTAATTTGGGCGAGCTTATTTCAATTTAGTTTAGAAACTATAATTGTAGCAGAGCTTTAGCGAAAAATAAAACGTGGCAACAAGTCAGCTCTTAGGCAAGTTCGGCAAACTCGCTTGTCTCTTTGGGGCCCAGCTGCCGATCATCATTTTGACTGCAGGCAATTTGCATATCTAAATATCTTACCGCGAAAACCACAAGTCGCTGGCAAACTGGAGTCAATTCTCTCATGGATGTTGCACTGAATGCGACTCTGATAATAAAGTTTTTAATAGGAAAATGCTATTAACTTATTGGTCGCGCGCGGTGGGCCCTGGTCAATTGGGGGCCGAAGCTGCATTGCCTGGACGATGAAACTGCTGCTGCTGCTGCTGCTGCTGCTGTTGCACATTATGAATTCAATTGAATTGTTCAATGGCCTGGACCTGGACCTGGACCTGGACCTGGACCTGGACCTGGGCCTACGGCAAACTTTTTGATTGTCTTTATTTTGATTTTATGGACGCTCTGAGTGCACCTGAGGCGCTCCAAAGAGCGATATGAATGCGACTATGCAGATATTTTGTGACAGGGCTGCAACGAAACGGAACTCACCTGAACTTAAAAACATATATATGATTCCTAAGCAATAATACTGCTTCAGTAACAACAGTGGGGAAATCTTGGCATTCGATATCGTCGAGAGACATTCTCTTAACCCAAATTTCCTCAAATTACTCAAGTCAGAGTTTGTAAAAAATGTTAATTGAGTGTGATGGCAAAATGACTTATGGAATATGTGCTTTAAGAGATAATCTATTTGAATTTGTATGAATGTGCTTCATAAGTGTTAAGCAAACACAAAATGTTTACTCTGGTTTTCGACAATGTTTTTGTTTTGGTTCTTGGCAGATGATTGCTTGGCTGAGTTCAACGGGTGCAGCAAAATTCAAGATAAAAAAGCTGAAGGGTTGAATACATAATTGTGTAAATAATGAAAATATTGTGCAAATGCACAAATGCTTTTCGTATTGCAGACATAAACATTTCATAAGATTGTGGGATGTGGGATATGGGATGTGTGTGTGTGTGTGTGTCCCTGGTCTAGAGACGGGTGTGCTGTGATTTTGGAGTCGCCGCTTGCATAATGTGAGCGAATAGATATTGTGATTCAATGGGTATTTGAATGAGTTGGGCGTGTCTTCAGCAGAGCACCAGACTTGGAGCTGCAATGATGTGATCAGCATGCATTTTTGGCGATTGCGCGTCATTTCGGAGTTGATGTCAGAGTCAGAGGTGTGTGCGCGGCATGAAACTGGCATAGAGTCGAGTCGACTCGAGTCGAGTTGAGTGGTGTGGCGTGGCGTGCAGTGAAGGGGGGACTGGGAAGGGGGTAGCGTGCAGCAGGAGCAAGTCAATAGAGCTGCTGGCTTTGCGGTCCTGCCACTGGCAATGCCATAAAAGGCACAATATGTATAAATTTGTAAAAGTAATTGCAGGCATATGTGCCACAGAGCAAGCATCAAACAATGCCAGTCCGATCTGAGCCGGGCCGGGCCGGGCCGGGCCGGGCCAACTGCATGCCAGCCATATTTGGCATGGGCCATAGGCCCAAGTATTGCCGTCTGTTGAGCAGCGCCGGCAGCGTGCGTGTTTTATGTCCAACTGCCAGCCATTTATACATTATAAAACTATATGTACGTTTGTACATTTATCCAAACAGACAGACAAGCCAATGAAGATGGAGACGCAGCTCCAGGGTCGAGCCATGCCATACCATCCATGCACCATCCGTCCACAGAGAGAACAAAAGTATTAACAGTACTCAAAATGCACAATTCCGATTAATAAAGTATTTTTACCATTGCAGTAGTCTAAAATTTGTCGTATTGAATTCTTTAAGACGCATTCAAGAGTTCAATTCTTCATTTCTAGCTTTGTGCACCAATTCCACAAAAAAAAACGTATTTTATATGCTACAAAAATCAGACAAATAATTTATTCAATAAATATTTGAACTACAAAAAACTTTTGCTTACCAGATGTGCGTAAATGATGCGAAAGCAAGAAAAGTTGCTGAGATTTCTTGAGAACATTGTGGATTTGATTCTCGGTTACTTACTCATCAATTTGGTATATCATTCGTTTTTTTTTTATATTTTTTCTACGTGTACCGCACCGCACTGAACCGTTCCGTTTCGTTCCGTACCGCTCATGCCTCATCTCGTAATTCGCCTTGGCCATTTTTGGTGTTCTGCATTTCATGATCTGTTGGATGCTGCCATTGTTTCGCATTGTTACAACTTCACAATGAGGCATTTGCTGTTGTGTCGTCTCCAAAAGTTAAATAATTCTCATCTTCTCTCTTTCTCTCTCTCTCTCTCTCTCTTTCTATGTGTTTTACAGGCCTGCGCACCGCGCTACGTATACCACTCGATGACGCCATCGTTGTCGCTGCGCTATGATCCGGTCGGCACCTGCTTCACCTCGCACAACTTCAAGCAGTTCTATGAGATATCGCCGTGTCGCACAAGTAAGTGGGTCGCCCAGAATTAGACCAGTACTGGTTTCCCTTCACCTTCCCCTGCCCCTGCCCCTGCTCCTCCCCCAACAGTCTTTCTCCACGGTCGAAAATCAGCAGCACTTCATGTGATTTGCAGTAATTTGACCAGGGAATCCCTTTAAACGCAAAATCACACAAGCAACAAGAAACAACAAGGAAAGTGATTACCACATACATATATAGGTATTAAGCCAGGGCCAGGTCAAAGCATGGGTGTCAGATAACCATTAAGGAGCGCATTTCGTGTTCATCTCTTCTGATATTCAGCAAGTGTTCCAATATATCACAATAATTTCAATTGATTTTAACTAAAATGAATCAAATTTACAACAAACAAGCTAACGTACATGATTCATTTGAATACTTATCCAGAATCGCTTTCAAGAGAGAGATAAAAAATATTACATTCAAAATTGTTGCCATAAAAACTTTTCTTTGATCCAATGCAATAAAACACTAAAAGTTTATCAAATGTCAATTTATTTCTCTATACGATTTTGATTCTTTCTTCATGAAGTGTGAACACATTTTCCATATATATATATATATATATATATAGATCTTAATGTCAGACTGATCAGTCTGCTGCGATTTTCCTAGGAAAACAAAAAATGTCTTATAGAGCAGAATGGAAATCAACAATTGATCTTATTGTTGTTAATGTCACTGACAGCTTTAATTCCCTAAGCCCAATTCAGTAAAGCCCAATTGTATCTGAAGAGATTGTTTATGTATGTAATATGCTATTGACAGAGTCTTCAAATCATCGCCATGTTCTTTTTTTATTATTCCTAGCATATTCGAGTAGGCTGCACGGGCACATGAGAAAAGATTTATGGCTCATAACAGACTGTGACTTGAAACAAATATGTGTATACCCTAAACTAAAACATGTCTATTAGTGTATTTTAATGCCGTGAAAGTGCCAACAAAATATTTTATATGTGATGCTCATATAGGAAAGCATGCTGAACTGCATTACGTATGATATTTTTGGTAAATTCGGAACTGGCTGCCAATTTGTTTGCTTAGTCATATGTAGCGTCTATATATGCAGAGGTAAACGTATATATATAAATACATATATATATGTATAGATATGTATATATAGCATATGTATGCCCCCACATATAGCTGGACATGTAGACACATATGGCACGACCACGAGATTATTTTTAGCATTGACAGCAGATGCAGAGCATATATATATATATATATATATCTATATATATATATATAGACTTTCATCGCGTAGACGATATGTATATAGAGGCTGTACATATATACACACATTTATACATGTGTAGCTTTAATCTATGATTCAGTTAATTAAGAACCAACTGATCAACTTTTGGATATCTATGAAAAATATGTGTTTCTTATACACATGAAGGCTTATTAAAATCAATTACAAAAGCTATTTATTATTTTGATTTATCTCTTTCAATATAGAAGGCATAATTTTTACTATTGAAATCGGTAGTTTTGATTGTATTTTAATAATAATATCTGTTTTTTACCCATCACGAGTGTCTATTTTTTTTTTTTTAACTACATGACATGTTTTAAGTGATCTAGGGATTTTTAAGAGATGAAACATTTTAATTTGATCGAAATTAAGTTAGTTCAATTGCCATTTTTAAGAGCTGGAACATTTTAATTTGATCGAAATTAAGTTAGTTCAATTGACATTGCTTTAACTAATTTAATAATTAAGTTGATGCTATTTCAGTAATTGCTCCCACAGAGAAATATATATTCGTCTATAGTGTTTGAGTTCATATTATTCATTAAACATTAACTACACATAAACAATTCAACCGGAAAGAGCTTGATTAGAGCCTATTTAGTTTTATTTAAAGATGCTATTAAGATTAGATCTATGTTTTTGGCTCTAATATGATAGACGAAAGAGAAAATACGTGTTAGAAATGATTATGTTAGCTGGTTCCCTCTCCGGGACCACAATCAACATTTGGATTAAAGAAATATTTGCCAATTGAAGAACGAGGCAATATGCCATGTTACAGAGTGTAATGGAAAAAAATACGATATTCGAAATGTGGTCGATGTGGAAGCGATGAGAAGCTATTTCTGTGCGTATCGAAACGATTGCTCAATTGCTGTTGCCTCTGATCGAACCAAGGCCAATTTAATAATTCTAAGCGCATTGCCCGGCGCTGACTGATTCCCATTGATGTGTTTGTTGTTGTTGTTGCTGTTGTTGTTGCTGTTGTTGTTGCTGTTGCTGTTGCGTTATTAATGTTGTCATTTCTACAGTTGGTGCTGTTTTTGTTGTTGTTGTTCTTGTTGTTGTGCAATGATTAGCAGCAGCGGCAACAGCTACTCATCACATGACAGTTGGGCTAGCACATTCCGACATCACTGAAAGCAATAAATACCAACTTAACGCACAAAATACCAAACTAATAGTTAAGACGAATAAAGAAAAAAATACAACAAAAAAACAACAAAAAAAAAATAAATAAATACAGGAGAAAAAAGCTGAATAATTGAGGAGGAGGCAAAAAAAAAAAAAAAAGGGGCAGACATTCAAACAAACAGGCGGCAGCAACACAGCAAGCGGACCAAGAGAGCCACAATTGTTGAGAGCTGATTTGGTGTCCAAGTGTGATTCGAAAACCAAACCCATGTCCGAGCTGAGCCGGTGTCCAAGTCCAAGTCCGAGTTGGAGTTGAAGTTGAAGTTGGAGTTTGAGTTTTGAGTGCGATTCCGATACGACTTCTGGTGCCCTTGCGCGCAGACTAATTGTAATTCAAGACGGGGGCGATTTTATTATGGGAATTACTACAACTGCACAACGCACAATGCACACAGGCCCATGTTGCTGTCTCTCTATGCGTGTGTGTGTGTGTGTGTGTGTGTGTGTGTGTGTCTATGTGTGTGTATGTGTGAGTTGGTTTGTGTCAACGGTGTGCCTTAAAAGTTGACTTATGAGAGAAGGTTGCTGTGCCGTGGACAACAGCAACAAACACGGCAGCAACATGCTGATGTTGCTGTTGTTGTTCCTTTTTCTGTTGTTGCTGTCGTTGTTGTTGTTGTTCTCGCTGAACGTTCAAATTGAAACACTTCGGAGACAAATTGTTATCGTTTAATTTGATCAAACGCACGATCTGGCTGTTGATTTTGTGCTCAGCTGCAAAAAAAAAAGAGGAAAGAAGCAGGAATAAAAAACAAGTTGCTGTTGTTGCAGCTATTGCTGCCGCTGCTGTCGCTGCTGCTGCTGTTGTTGTTGCCGCGAGCATTGCGTGATTTTTATTTGGTAGCAAACATTCGCGGACAGTTGGTCGGACAAAAGCACAAACAAAAAGACAGCCAACCAAAGGATGTGGAGCTTGTGGTCACCAGGTTGTAGTTTGCTTTTGCCTTTTTTCTCTTTACTTGTTGTTGCTGTTGTTGTTGTTTGTGTTGTTGTTGTTGTTCTTGTTGCTGCTGCTGCTGCTGTGGCCTTTGGCTTGGGCCTGTCGTCTGCAGGCTTTTGTTTGGTGATCTGCCGCTGTAGTTTATTGTATTTTCATTTCAACGTCCATCGTCTGGCAGTTGGCAGTTGCCCCAGCTCTAAACTCTCAGCTTTTTTTTCTTTTTTTTTTTTTTTGCCCCTAAGGCGCGAGCGCGCTCTAATCCTTTTATGTTGTTGGTTGTTGTCCGTTTGAATGTTTGCCCCATCGCCTGACAAATCACTGGCGCAATTTATTGCATTGCTCTGGTAATTATTTGCAATTTATTGCCCCTCCCTGCCGCTCCCTGCCCCCCCCCCCCCCACAACTACATTTTTCTGATACAATTTCAATCCATACAGGCATAGTAAGCATTTGCCTTCAAAATGAAAAAAAAATGAACTCAAACTGTAACTCTTTATTTTGTTGCTTTCCCCACTCTTTGCAGATCATTGGGGATATCATCGACAGGGCTCGTGTCAGGCTGGCTTCAGTGCGGCTGTCAACAGTGTAAGTATCATTTAACAGAGTACATTAGCTATTGTCATCTGTTTGCCATAAGCTAGGAAAAGCCATTGCATTTTATACAAGTCAAATAACTGGCAGAGTAACCTAGTCAGATCATAGATCAGATTTAAAGTGCCCAATCTTAGTAAGAAAAAAAAACATAAAATATGCCCAAATGTTTAGAAAGCTGAAAATATTTAATCTCTATTTGAATTTGATTTCTTATTATTTTTATACATTTTAGAAAGGTTGTATGCATGTTAGTTTTGAGTTTAATTTGTGCTTCTATAATTTGGAAAATTGCATTGATCATTTTGCAATAACTAAATTTCATAATCATAGATAACTAAATACAAATTTTGTATAGGAATCAACTTAAAGTATTTGAATATCGACAGAGAATTTTACGGGGTACAAATATTTTTACCTGTTGCCAGTATTTTTTTTTGTTTTTTTTTTGTCGCATTGAGTTATTATATGCCGGGGCCGTGGTGATAGGTGTTTTTTTCTTTGGGCTTGTATAGGTGCTTGGATTTAAGTTTTGGGCTTGGTATTGGTATTTTGAATATGAGTTTTTGGCTTGGCTTAAATTTGGCGTGAGCACGTTTAGTTGGCACCTTGTTGCTTGTGATCGTGGCATAATATTTGCATAAGCAATTTCCTAAGTAAATTCACATTTCGCATTTGCAGAATGGATCGCGTTTATTCATCGGCGCGCCTGGCAGCTGGTATTGGCAAGGTAAACTGCACGTTTTTAACCATTTACCATTTAAATTTAGTATGAAACAAGTAAATCAATATAATATTTACATATAAAGTCAAGTTCTATTTATACTGTATGTATTTTGAAATTTGTTGTACTCGTACTACCTATAAATACAACAGCTACTCTTATCCAATGTATTTAGTTATAGATAGACCTTTAAGTATTTAATTCCTAGCCAAAGTGAGCCCAACCCTACCCCAAAACACACACACATAATGTAGTTATTGGTTTCATATACATAAATCCATTTCTTATGATCTTATATATTTTTCCTACTTTGAAATAGTTGCAAAATGTTGCCTTTGATTTTGCATATAGTTCTTTGTTCCCGCCCACTTCCCATCACTTTGCGGTTTACCCTATATATTTGAAATTTTGCATACGAAATCTCTTTTTGTGTTAATTTTCAGTTTTAGTTGTGTTTAATTTTGAGCATCCTTAGAATTTAGTACGTCCCTAACCTCAAAAAAAAAAAATAAAAATAAATAAAAATAAACACAAATAATCCACAGATTAAATTAAACTACACAGATATAAAATAGCATAATCTTAACCCACAGAATAGTATTATAATTAAGCTTGAAATTCGTATGAAAGTTTTGTATTCTAGAATTCTTGATCTCAAGATCGAAGCGTAGTAATTTTCATAGATCGTATTGAAATGGTAGAGTCGAAAACTTAAAGTTATTATAACAAACTGGAAAACAATCGATATAAATGCATCAAAGTATTGAAAGATAATCATTTTGAGAAATTAATGTTGTTAATACCACAATCGAAACATTCGTTAGTTTTCCAGCACTAACATAGTATTTTTTTATAAACTCTAGATGCTTAAGATATTTACTGTATGTGTCAATCTGTTATGTCAACATTTATGTATACACTCCTGAAATGCGCTAATTAAATAGTTATTTAAGTCATGATTTTTTTCTAGTGTTGTCGAGTTGTTCTTGTTGCTACCATCCAAAATTATTACACAATTGGAATTGTTGTCGTTTAGTGTTGTCGCTGCTCGAAAATCAAAACAAACTCATTTGGCTAACTATTTACCATCTACAACTCGACAGCAACTGCTGCAGATAACTAACCCCATGTTAAGTTTATCGTGTAGTCAGTTGAACTATTGATTATTGATTATTGATTATTGTAATGTACTTGTAATCGTAACTATAATTGTAATATTTAACTTTAACGATAACTACTACTATAACTGTACCTGTACCTGTACCTGTATCTGTACCTGTACCGTAAACGCGTCATAATTTCCCACTTGAATTTTTAGTCGAACTCTTTATTTGTCTCATTTTGATTAATATGTATTATGTATTCTCTTTTTATTCTTGAATTTTGAACCGTAAAAACAAACAAACCAAAAAAAAAAAAATTAAAAAAATGGCCTCTGTGCATTCTGTACCGAACGCCATGACCTGTGTCTGTTGTTCAACCCAACCAAAACCAAAACCTAAAACCGCAACCAAAACCACAACCAAAACCAAAACCAAAACCAAAACCGAAACCGAACATAAAATACACATCAAACCTAAAAACTCGATACCAAAACTTCTGCTATTATTATCCGAAATACTGAATACATAAAAAAAAAGGACAAACCTACTCAATACCGCCCGATGCCGAGTTTCCATATAAGCCGCCTTATTATCAGCCCTTCGGCACTGGAGGTAATAATAATAATACGCAAATACGCTTCTCACACCGCAAAGCTCAGCCAACCTTATCTACAACATTGATCAAACTTAACCCTACAGCCAAGAGCCTAAAAAAAAAAAATGATACAATAAAAACTGTACAAAGTATCTGAATAATCTGAAAAAAGGCGAAAACTAAAAATAGCTTCTTCACCGAAAAAAACCTTACCCTCAAAACTCCACATTTTATATAATGGTGTGTGTGTGATAATATTAAGAATACGAACTCGAAACCATCAACAAGGCGCTGAGACTGTCAAGTCGGGTCAGAAAGTTACCTGTTAACCATAACTTTTGCCCCTGTCCACGATTTGACAGCGTTCGCTAAATTTGTCCACACCCACCGTAAACCACCCCCTTCTCTCTCTCTCTCTCTCTGTATCTCTCTGCCATCATCAAACGCTTCGCTAACAACGAGTGCAACGAGGGCAACGAAAACCGCACAAACGTTCCACAAATCGTTCCCGAAATGCCTCGTCACGCCTCAGAAGCACATAACTGCAGCATTGGTTCGTGTCAACACTAAGCAATGCTCCATACCAAAGTACTTAGTGCATAGTGCATAGTGCATTCACTTTATAGGTAGCAAGAATCATACCAATCATATATGACAAAGTAATCACATATCTACATATATATTTGATCTACTTATCAATGAGAACGGTTAAGGCAACAGTTACTTGCATGAAATTCGAAAATGTTTTAAGCGCATTCAATTATTTTGTGCTGCCAGTTCGCTTTTAATGAAATATTATTATTTGATTCATTGTATGTTGACCGGTTGGCAAATTGGCAAGTTGTTGAACTAAAATTTAATTGGCGACTCTGCAATTTTATCTATTACATAAAAATTATGGCACTGGTATATATTTTTAAAGTTTGACATTTTACGGGGCTATTTGACTTTGAAAGCAACGAAGTTGATGCACTCACTTCTTTTGTTGGCAGGCTTAAATTCCTTGATCAGATAATGAAATTCTCATTTATAGAATTTTTTTATTTTTTATTTTTCTTTATCATCCCGAAACTGTGAGAATTTATCTAAATAAGCAAAGTACAATTGTTCTCATATTAAAATGGTAAAGTATTTTATTTCCTGAAGTTAGATATTCTTAATTTAAGAGTCCTTGATTAAAAAATGTAATTTATTTGTCATTGAATATATTTTTATTTCTTTTTTTAATGTGGACTACAAAAAATCAGCAACAATATTGAAAGAAAAAAAAAATTTAATTTTAAAAAGCATAAAATTAAAATTAAATTAAATGTTTAAAGCATTATTGAAATATTAAAATACAATAAATGAGAGCTTGGGAAAATCACAGAAAATGAATCACAGTAATTTTTAGATGGGAAATACATCCGAAACTTATAAATAAGAAAAGACAAAATTATAAATGAGAGTAAAAGAAAAAAGAAATTAAAAGAAAAAACAAGAACGATTTATTCAAAGGTTTGATCGGTAAATGGGCAAATTTAGTATTATGGAAAAAGCAATTTCCGCTGATAATATAGGAAAGTGGGAAAAGAAAGATGATTACGATAAATGCGTGAATCAAATAGCTATTCTAAAATATGGTACTCTACACAGAAGAAATAGAATCGCTGGCGGCAGAGTAGATGCTAAAGTAGATGCTTACGAGTGGTGTCCGAGGCTGGTCTGGACACAAAAACTGCACCTTTCACATTTAGCAAGCATTTTGTTCTCACACAGCCAACAATTAACAACTTGTGGCTGTAAAGCATCTTCGGCTAGCTTAAGTGTGCAAGTTTTTTTTAATTTTAGTTTTTTTTTTTTTTTATTGCAACAAGCCATTTTGACAACTGGGGTCAAACAAACACGAAATGCAGAAATAAGATTGTGAAAGCGACTAAAAGCCAACAATCAAATTTAGGTCTCAAATTTTGTGAGCACCAGAACATTTTATTTAGTAATCAAACCCGTTTTGGGATACTTAAAAGATTAGCAATCACAAATAAAAAGTTAAGTTACGTCAATCAAACTCAAACTGGAATATTTTACGCAACAAATGCTTCTTTTGTTTTGTAATTGAATTAAATAATATTTTAAAATTTCTTTAAGTGAATATTTTATACATTGTATATCTATGCGGATTGTGCTTGAATTGAGAGAAGTTTAAGTATGAGCGTAGTGCAAAATAACGCCAGGATATATGACTTTCAGCAGTAAGGATCTCTTGCCTAAACCGTTCCCATACAAACATACACATACACACACACACACACACATACACATACGTACATAAATATTATACTAAGCTTTAGTTCAAGTATTTGAAGTACATAAAGTAATGGCTGTTACTAACCGTAATTCCTATGGGCTGAGGACATGTCAGCCAAAGCATCCGTCCCAAGCATGCCTCACCAGGGATTAAGCCTAATCTAATCTATCTATCTATTTATCTATCTATCTACCATTTTAGAGATAGTAGTACAATTCATGGCTTCTTGGAGTTATCTAGAAGTAATCTCGTAGTCACCTGTAGATCTTGAGAATATTAATTTTGTCTTGTACTATTGTTGCTGTTGAGTTTGTTTGCTTTTTGTCTTCTTCTTCATCTGTTATTGTTATTGTTTTTGTTTTGCTTTTTTTTGTTTTTCATTTTTGTAGTTGTTGCGTTGTTGTTTTTTTTTTTTAATACTTGTCATCAGGCATGCCGCTCTTTAATCGTAGCTAAACAAACCTCACATTTCACCAATCAATGATCTGCAAAGCGATCTTCTTAACAGAACCGAACCGCACTCACACATTTAAACTCCGATATTCACAGGTCAGGCGATTTCGCAGGATGTGACCAAGCCGGAGAATCAAGTGTTCTCCACGGCCGAAAGTTCATCGGCCAGTGATGATTCGTATTTGGGTTACTCAATGACCACCGGTGACTTTGATGCCGATCGCACCGAGGATGTCGCCATCGGAATGCCACGTGGCGCCAATCTACTTGGCAAGATCGTTGTCAATCGCTGGAATATGGCCAACATATTTAACATAACGGGTCGCCAGATCGGTGAATACTTTGGCTATGCTCTCGCCTCCAGTGATGTCGATGGTGATGGCCTCGACGATCTGATCATCGGTGCACCAATGTATACCGAGCCCGGCAATGTTGAGGGCAAATACGATGTGGGACGTGTCTATGTACTGATCCAGGGCGGCCCATCCGTGGTAAGCTATTAAAACCTACATAAAGAACACAATACGGTTTCCTCACTTTCTCTGAAACTTGCATTAAACAAATCTAGTAACTGAAGTAAAGTATAAAGATATTGAAATCGAATTTAATATTTTAGACCAGGGTTTTCTTCACAGTTTCTGTTAGAAACATATCAATGAAAATCACAACGCAATATTTCAATTCACTTATCTGAAAATGTGAAATGTTGATCCTTAAATTAATTCTGAAAAACATTTTTGAATTTCTAAGGCGATTTTCTTACAATTGCAATAATTGAACACATCAAATGTTGTGCTTAGTTGAGTGAGTCTAGCCAATAATATCAACATGGATTGCTTTATGCTTGTTTTGAAGCCTTACTTACTTTTTGCTGATATTTGGATTATGATATTTACAGTCGGACCACTGGATGGTGGAGCATATACGCGACGGTTTCCATACGAAGGGTCGCTTTGGCTTGGCGCTGACCACGTTGGGCGATGTGAATGGCGATGGGTATGGCGATTTCGCTGTCGGTGCACCCTACGATGGACCCGAGGGTCGTGGCATTGTCTACATTTATCATGGATCCGCACAGGGTCCGCTAACGAAGCCATCGCAGATCATTAAGGCCGAGCAGTTGGTGGAGTCGGCACCGTATCCGCGCACCTTTGGCTTTGCACTGTCCGGTGGCGTTGATATGGATGGCAATACGTATCCGGATTTGGCCGTTGGTGCCTATGCCTCCGATCAGGTATACATCTTCAAATCACGTCCCGTGGCCGCTGTCAATGCGGAGACGGTGTTTTCAAGCACAACGAAACTGATCAGCCTGGACGATCGCAGCTGTGAGCTGAAGCGGGATCGCAAGCAGGTGCCGTGCATGCCGCTGAGCACCTGCTGGAGCTACACCGGTCGCTATCTGCCCAATCAATTGGACTTTGAGGTGTCGTGGCTGCTGGACGCGAAAAAGATTCGCAATCCGCGCATGTTCTTCATTCGCGACGAGGGCAAGAATATACGCAACCAGACCATACGCTTGACCTATGGCCAGCGGTATTGCTTGAATGAGACCGTCTATCTTATGGATAGTGTCAAGGATAAGTTGACACCACTCGAGGTCGAGGCACGCTACAATCTGCGCAGCAGTCGTCCCCTCGAACCGTTGGTGCGACGACGTCGCGAGGCCCTCGAACCGGTCATCGATCAGAATCGCGAGATCATTCTACGGGACTCGATCAACATTCAAAAGAACTGCGGACCGGACAACATCTGTGAACCAGATCTGGCGCTGACCGTCACGTAAGCCAAACTTATCTATCGAAACAATCAATTATCGTAATGCCAAATCTTTTGTAGTGCTGTGGAAAAGTATCTGTTTGTGTCGGGCGAACCGCTGACCATTGAGGTGCTCATCAAGAACAACAACGAGGATGCTTTCGAGGCTGCCTTCTATATGATAACGCCAAAGGATTTGCAGTTCACCAAATTGCAGCAGCTCGGTGAAAAGATCGATATGCCCATCACCTGTTCAGCTCCGGATGGCAGCAACAATTACACCCTCAAATGCGACATTGGCAATCCCCTCAAGGGTGGCAACATGGTAGGTCTCTCTCTCTCTCTCTCTCTCTCAATCTTTCTGTCTGTGATTACCAATGGAATTGGATTTTGATTTTATTTTTGACAGACACACTTTGCTGTTAGTTTTGTGCCAGCCGAGAAGCATACGAAGACTTCCAGCTATGATTTCTACTGGGAGGCGAATTCAACAAATCCGGAGAGAAAGAACTCCAAATTCGATAATATTGGTAGCAAAAGCATTGGCGTCTGGGTGGAAACGGATCTAACGATCAAGGGCACCTCGCTGCCCGACTATCAGGTGTACAAGGCGTCTGATTACAAGGCACCGGGCAATGCGACCATCGAGGAGGAGATCGGGCCACAGGTGGTGCACATCTATGAGCTGCGCAACAATCTCAGCTCATTCATTGAGGGCGCCATCGTCGACATCTATTATCCATATCAAACCGAGTCCGGTGATCCATTGATGTATGTGCTCAATCAGCCAGAGACTGGCGGCAAAATCCGTTGCGACATGATCGAGGTCAATGAGTTGGGTCTCAAACTCAACGAGAAGCAAAAGAATAAATCCTATCTGCATGCTCAGGGTGCCATCAGCAATTCGATGAATGTGGATGCTGGTGCTGGTGCTGGTGCTGCTGATGGTGGCCACTTGGAGATACCGAATGATGCACAAACTGGGGGCACTGTACGCGTCAACGTTGGCAACGACAATCAGCGTCGGCTGACACCCAAGCAGAAGGAGCTGTTGGAGCGCGAGGATGCCCAGGATGTTACCGGTGATGCATCCTATGTGCACTTGGATCGTGCCAACAATGCCGTTCGCCAACAGGAATTCAGCAGCAGCGGCAATCGTACCGATTATCAAATTGGCGGTGGTCCAAGCCAGGCCGATCTGCGTGGACATAGCACCCGGGGACATATACAAATGGCCAGTCCTCATGTGATCACCAGCTCCAGTTCAAGCTACCAGATGCGACCCCAGCAATCGCAACATAATCAGCAGCTTTATTTGGCTGGTGGCAATGTGGGCGACAAGTCGATGTATGGCGGACGCAGTGGAAATTTCCAAACTGGCACCTTGGATTTGGGTAACCTAAATCGTGGCAATGTGGACAACGAGCTGCACCAGACCCAAATGCAATACGGACATCCGGGCAATGTGCAACATCATGTTGTTTACAGTTCCGGCACCAAACCATATTATGGGCGGGAGAACGAAGACTTCTACGATGAGGACAATCAACAGCAAAAGGCACAGGCTCAATCTGAATCGCAGTCACCCGTTCAGCGTCAGTGGAGCACATCCAGTTCGAGTTCGACGCAGCGACGCTTTAAGCGCGACAAGCCAACAACAATTGAGATGAGATTGGCCAATGGCACCTCACCGTGCCTGGGTGTCCAGTGTCGCCGTCTGCGCTGCTATGTCCAGAATCTTGGCTATGAGGATGCGGATGCCGCATTTGTGGCGATACGTGCTCGCATGGTGGCAAGCACAATGGAGAAACTGGCACCCACCGTGCCACTCAACGTGTCCACGCTGGCTGTGGCAAATGTGACGCTATTGCCATTCATCGGTCGACCCATGGAGATGATTGTGAAGACGCATGAGATCTTCTACAAAGCGCAGCCGGAGCCACTTCAAGTTCCCGATGTGGTGCCACTGTGGGTCGTTGTATTGGCTGCCTGCGCCGGCGCACTCATCTTTCTACTGCTCGTCCTTCTACTCTATAAGGTCAGTTGATTATTCGAATTTTTAAGTTAAGTTATTATTTAAGTTTATTATTTAAGGCACTTGTCTCAGTTATTCATCCAAATTTAATCCTCACCAATTTATAACAAATTAATATAAAACAAAAGCATATCATTATAATTGGTTTCAAACTTTTGCCAAAAAGTAATACTTTCTTTTTTTTTTTTAAATTTATTGCTTAACAGTTTTATATTAGTTCCTCTTATTTAATTTAAGTTCAATAACCGTTACCGTTTCAATCACCTGTGCAGCCAATATTCAAACCAATTTGTCTTTTCAGTGCGGCTTCTTCAAGCGCAACCGGCCCGCGGATCATTCGCAGGAGCGACAACCGTTGCGGAACGGTTACCATGGTGACGAGCACCTGTAAGGCCTTTGCTGCAGCAGTAGGACGGGCAGCAGCAGAAACAGAACTAATACACTACACATACGAACAATTAACATCGCACTAAACAACGTACTAAAACAAGAAAACCCAAAAAACAAGAAACGGTTTTAGAAACAAACCTAACTAAATAACGAACGCGCTTAGCCAAGTTTTAAGCCGCGCGCGCGCTTTTTAAAAACGCCCGCCAACGACAAAAGTAGCCAACAAAAAAAAGAAACCTGCAAATCTATACAAAAATTAATGTGCGATGTTGCGATGAATTTTTTTTTAAACAAAAAAAAAAAAGAAAAAAAAAAACAAAAACACGTAAAACTTGCCTAGTCACAAAATTGAGAACTTTCTGATGCGAAAAAAGTTAAATGATATTTTTTTTCGTTTGTTTTAATTATTATTTAATTCGTTCAATGAAACCTTGCAAATTTGATGAACTTCTCCATCGAGTGCTACTTTAATGTGTACTAAAGATAAAACTATATGGTAAGTAAGTGTGACTGTGTATGCGTGTATGTAAATGTATTTGTGTGCGTGAGTGCGAGTGGTTTTTTGAGTGAGTGTTTTTAGCTAATGTTGAAAGCAAGACCACAAAACAAAAACAAAAAGAAAAACAAAAAAAAAAATGAAAAATTAAGCTAATTAATATGTGAATTTTATTTGTAATCAAGAAATAATAATGCTGCCCGCAGAGAAGCTTCGAGAAGTGTCATACTGCCACGCCCACTGGCGCCAGCAGCCAGCAGTAGCATTAAAATAAATCAAATATTAGGTGCTACTTTAAAGTTTTTATTTTCCCATTCCCCCCCCCCCAAAACCCCCTCCTAACTCCCCTCCCCAACCTTCCCATCCACTCCTCCCATAGACACATATTATTGAAAGTTTTCAAATTGTAGGCGTGAGAAAATTGTTTGCCAAACTCAAAGTTTGCCAATCGTAAAATCTGCAACACCAAAATGGGTTAATGCAAAACTATTAAAAGAAACAATGTGTAATGTTTTTTTTTCTTCTTGTTCTTCTCATAATTGTAAAAGTCTTTGTGTATATACTAAAAAAAAAACAAAAAAAAAGTCGAGAAAAAAGGAAAATGAATAATTAATTCGTTTAATTAATTAATATGCATTTATTTCCATACTACACCGCAAGAAGCGCAGATCGACTTCTTTTGGTGTACTCTCGAAATAAACTTTGGGTAGTGTATAATAAATATATATGTAGGCTTTTGCTTGTTGTGTCTACCTATTATTTAAGCACAACTCGCTATTGTTTAATTTATTAACTGTACTTATATAAATGCGTATGTATTTTATTCTTTTTTTTGCTAATATATGTATTAAATTTAATTTTTTATTAAAAAAAGAAAAGTTATCAATAAAATCAGGGTCAAATTGTAAAAACTCATCTGTGAAATTTTATTTTGGAACAAAATATTTCTTTCAGCAGGAAATTCAAAATGAATTTGAAAACAATCGATCCTTATCGACGCGATTTAAATGTTATTCAGAGTGACGGGACTAATCGACAAATAGTTATCAATTGACAAGACTATCGATAATAATGCTCACTTTGCGTTTACGTTGCTCTCGTGTGCGTTAACGTATTCACAGAGGTTTGTGCATTGGCTAATGACAATAAAATTGTTTAAAATAAAAGTATTTTAGGATTTTTTGTGTGTATTGTGTTCATGCAGCAATTGCAGCAATTAAATATTTGCCGTACATGTTTTTCGTAAAAAAAAATAAACAGCACGCTGTGTGCCGACGGCAGAACAGAGCTCGTAACAACTGCATTCGAAATTTGAAACGTTACTCGATACACATAGAACGGTAATTGCGGCGTTCATTTTGTTCTACATTTCTCTTTAGTAATCATTGAGAAAGCAACGTTGCGCGACGTGTGCCGCGGCGTAATTGGCGAACGTTGACGTTGACGCTGACGTTGTTGTTATTGTCGTTCAGTTAGTTGTGCGCGTAAAACTGCAACTGTTTTCTTTTCTTTTCATTTTGTTTTTTTTTTTTGAAGTCATACACAAAGCGAATATTAAATGGTTGTGGTTTTTATTTTTAGAATGAAAGTTAAAAGTAAGCTGCTCTACAAAAAACAAGTGTTTGCCAAGATTTAACAACGCAACAATAAAAATAAAGGCAAATCGAATATTTAGCGTGTATTCAAAGAGTGTGTGAATAATATGTTAATTACATGTTGCTAACTGATAGCAGATCTCTTATTTTTGTTCTTTGTAACAATTACAATAATATAATTAACGAGAGTGAGTGCAACAACAACAACAAATACAAGAAGGTAAAAGCAAAAAGTGCTTAAGCTCCGCTTTCAGGTGCTTCTACAAATGTGTGTGTGTGTGTATGTATGTGTGTTTTGGAATGTGAGAAGTACGAAACATCTACAAATATGGAGCGAGTACAGAGCAAAGAGTGAGAGAGAGAGAGCACTTTCAAGCCGTAGTTATAAAGTATCCTTGTATTGGTATGTTCATGTGTGTGTGTGTGTATGTGTTTGTGAGATATGCCGGCACAACCGGTTCGTCAAGTCACTAAACCAAGACCAGCAGCAGCACCACCACCACCAGCAACAAAAACAACAGCAATGAGAAGAAGAAGCTAAATTGTAGAAAGAGAGTAGAGCCAATATGTGAATGCTGCGCAGACAGCAATGCGACGGCGACGCTTGCGTCGTTTTCATTGCCTGCGATGCTGCCAGCAGTGCATTCTGCTTTTGATTTTGGTTCTCTTATTTTGTGGTGGTTGTTGCGTTGTTGTGCTGCTACCGTCTCACACCCACACAGCCACATACGCATATACAGGCCACATGTGCTGCGCATTAAACGCAAAAACAAAAAGAGAAGAAATTCCCATAATTAATGCGTAACAGCGTCGACGTCGACAAAAGCAGCTGCGATCTAGGGATGTGCAATAACCGTTAAGCATAGTCACCACACTTATATACATATATATATATATATATATATGTATGTGTGTGTGTGTATGTATTCTCGGTTAAACACGGATCTTTGGTCATCCTCTCAGACAACGACGACATTTCCGCTTCTTTCACTGCTGGCGCTGCTGCTGTTGTTTTTATCTCCACTTTTGCCTTTCGAATACCGTTATATTTTTTTTTCTATTTTTGTATTTTTTTGTTGCTTGTTCTCGCCGTATAGTGACTGGGTTTACCTCTGCCTTTGCATTTGCGCATTGTGCTGCACACGCACGAAGCTACGCCGACCCCCACCATCGCCCACACACCCATTCCCCCATCGTTTTAATAGTTGTCTTTTGCCCGCATCATCGAATCGACTGCCGAATATCCGCTCGATTTGCACTCGTTTTAATTTTGTTTTCAATGCCCTCTCGCAAAAGAGTTCGACAATTATGTTAGAAAGTCTGGCAACGTTTAAGTGAAGATGCTGGATTATATAAATAAATTATTCTATTCATTAACTACATATATCACATTTTTCATTTTGTATGTAGTTTAAACGACAATGAATTGATGAAAATTTTAAATAGTAATCATTAAATTAAAAGATTTCAAATAATGTTCGTAATTTCTTTTTAATAATCTATACTTTGTATAACCCAAATAACCCTGTAATGCAGAAAGTATGCGTCTGTGATTGATCGTAAATGGAATACTATACGACTCCATATAATACCAAGACAGATTATTGGAATGCACTTGCATTACACCCCCAAATATGGAATAGAGCTTAGCATATATTTTCAAAAAGTAGTTAGATATAAATATAAATACTCGAAATATAGAAAGCTCACTATATCTACAATTTGACGACTTATTCGAGGATATATAACAATTTTAAATATGAACAAAAAAATATATTTTATTTTTCAAAAGCTGCGCCAGCGCATCAATTAAAAGAGATAGTAAATCAGATAATAACCAATACCAATATAAGAAATACGTTATAAGTATTTGTTGTTGTTGTTGTGTATAGTATTGCAAAGGAACAATAACTAAACTCAAATATTGTATATTTTTGTCTGCCTATTCTGCAAGGGAGAGTATTCAAATTACGGTATTCCAAGACTAAGTTACCTTTTTTTATGTGTGTTGCCGCACATGTACAGTGCATGTGTATTTATGTATATATATATATATGTATTTGTGTATTTATTTATGTACATAAATATGGCAACAAACCGCACCTTTTCCCGTTAAGCGCTTGAACTTGTGATTTACGCTTCAGCTAACATCGAATGCTGCTTTATAAATACTCAGTCAACTTTCATTATATTTGGGGGGATGTTTAGAAAACTTTCGACATTATGTATTTTTCTGTTGGATATTGAAGTAAGTGCATGGAGATATCTTCATATATATGCACAATACAGCAAGCAAATAGTAATACTATTATTAAATATATCATTGTGATTCCAAAAGGACAACAACAATGTAAAAATGTTACAAAATATTACAATTAATTTCACTAAAACTCTGATGCTGCACTATATTTATTGTAAGACCTCCATAAAAGGAAAACATCTGTCATCCTTAGATTGATTTATTACTCATGTTCTTGGCTGTAGAGTTTTCTTAAGCGGTCAAAATCATATGTTGTTTTGTGTGTGTTTGAAGTGTCTCTTATCTGTAATAAATCAATGCACAGATTGTTTGCATAGGCTCTTGAGCTAAATATGGAAAAGGAAAGAAAATCTGGTAACCTTGAAATATGTATGCATTTATGTATGAAGAACGAAAAACGTGTTGCAGCGTTCTATATAATTTAAATATTGAAGTTATCTTTAGTGTTGAGTGAGCAATTTTAGAAAAATGCACTCACAAATAAATAAAATATTGACAAAATTAAACAAATTATTATATTAAACTAATGTTGTTGTTGCATGTTCCGTTATCAGCGAGTGCTGATCAAACTTGCATTGCCTTGTGCACAGCTGAGCGTAAACTGCCGCTGCCACTGCCTAAGTTGGCGTCGCCGTCGCCTCTGGCTTTTATAAGTGCAACTAGGCAAAGTGTTGACACATTAATATTTCAACAACAACAACAACAATAACATTAGCAGCAATTCAGAGCTCGGTCGTTGTGCAAGCCGAGCTGTCAGCAATCAAGGTTATCAGCCATCAGCTATCAGCAGCGAAACGCAGAGTTTCTGCCATCTACTGCCCCTTTCAATAGTCAATTATTGGTAGTAGTAGAGTCTACTTGGTAGTAGTCGAGTCTCCGATCCCATTAGCTATATACAGTTGCGAATAAAATAAAAACAATTATTTTTTATTCTGACTAATCTCACAAAATATATGTGGTATTAAGTTACTCGCATTTCGGACTACTCATATCATTTAGCTGGCATTGGAATAATCGGTCAAAAGATAAGTTATAGCTTATATCATCGAGATGGGCGTTGTTAGAATGTTTAGTTCACAGCTAGGCCTTAAATAGGTATCATTCGGAAAATATTGGATTAAAGCGAAAAATTCTTTTCAAATAAATTAAATTGCTTAAAGCAAACATTTTATTTAATATAACCAAAAAATAAAAATATTCAACTATTTCGAAAACCAAACAAAAATGTAGGTGTGAGCAGTGCAACTCTGGTTTGCCAGGGTATTTAATCTTCGGCCTTTGTGCGTAAGATAACCGTTCTTTCTTGTATTCTTTTTGTTTTTTGTTTTGTTTGTGTATTTGTAGTTTTGCTGAGGCAAGTATCTTGAAACACTTTGATAATGGGCGACGATGTTCGGTGCGCCATTATTGACAAATTAAATGTCAATAGCACAACATGAACAACCTCAGCAACAACATGGTAAAGCAACAAATGGCGACACTGAGACAGTAGGCACCAACAACAGAAATGAACGTTAAGAAACGAACACTAAATACCTTACACTATTCAATCCAAAAGTGATTTTCTAGAAATTTAGAAATTAATTAATATTTGTCTTTAATTAGTATTTTAAGTTTCCATTTTTTTGTTAGACATCAAATTGTTTACAGAAATTAATTTATGAAAACCAGTTGAATTTTGGCTTTAATTATTATTTTTAGATTCAATTTTTACCCTCGATACGTTGCATATTGTGTGAGAAAACTATAGTACCCTCTTGGGGCGGTACAATATTAATTAACTGCTCGACAATGCGATAGGTGGACAGCTTGACAGGTGGACAGGCGGACAGGTGTGTAAATCTGATTGTCAATTACGCTCGACATCGAATTCAATTTCTATGCCTTTAATTTTATAATGTTTAATGTTGAATTGAATGTTTGGCATGTCAATCAGCTTGTGTGGGCAGCGTGACAATTCAATTGAATTTATGTGTGTCCAACTTGACATCGGTTTTTTCTTATTGGTTATATATATATTATATATATATTTGTATGTCTATGTCCGGCTTCTGTGACCGCCAGCAATTTGACATATTTCATCAAATATGGTCAACTTTAAATTGAGTTTTACGAATAGAATCTGTTATGGTATTGAAAAGTGAATGCTGTGTGGATATCCGCTGAATGTGTGCATACATATGGCTCTAAGTAAATGGATATTACAGCCAAAATTGTAATGAATGCATATTTTCTGTAATGCTAATCAAGAGCACTTTTGTTTGTTTAAATCTTATACATTTGAATTTAGGAATAAATATAAAAATTTCTTATTATTAGCATATACATATACGATTCGTATTCTCTTATCGCATTTCTTAACACAAGACATCTGACGCGCATCTTGAATTGCGTCTCAAAGCATCCCCAACCATTCACCATTGCCCATCCCCCATCGCCCCAATGTGCTGAAGGGGAAGCAAAAGAAGAAGACAATGCAAACTGCGCAGCAGTTGAAGAAACGCACGAACTTGTGCGTGGCAGAGAGTGTTGCAGCTTTGCACTGCCATTGGCATAAACAGAGCAACGCAATAACATACACAAAACCAGCAAGCAAATTCAGGCAGGAAGCTACCCAAAAATGGATCGAAGCCCGCACAATACGAATTAAGCATTTCAAATACGAAATACAACCCATAAACAGATTCTTGATACCTCTCCACTTCCCCAAATAAGCGTATGTATATACATACATGTGTGTGTGTGTAGCCCACTTTTACAGAAGTGCCGCTGCGGCACTTTGGCTTTGATGAATGTCATCACCATTGTTGCGACCCATTAAAAACCATGTTGCATTTGCATTTTCTTTTTGAAATACTGCTTTGCTTAACTATTATTTTGTGCTATATTCAACTCAAGGCACAAAGTGGTAGAAAAAAACACCAATAAACAACTGCAAAATTAATTTTAAAGACCCGGAAATCAAATATGTAACATATTATAGCGGATGAACGACTTAAGATGACTCGGATAGTGCAATTAATATTAATATTAATATCTGTATTCAAGTGGATAACACGCTATTAACCAGAATGTTCAATTCGACTGAGAGGTCGACTGAGAGATACTATCAGCTTAGCAACAATAAAAATCTAGGGCAGCTCATGTTTTTTTCTATTTTTTTTTTATTTAATGTGAATTTAAAAAAGAAATATTGAGATATACAAATGATAAATTAAAATTAAGTAACAAGTTAAGTGATGAACAATTAAACGTGAATGAGTGAATTGAAATTTAAAATGAAAAAAGGAATAGTTTGTTCAATATGAAAACAGAACAAATTGTTTTCTTTCTTATCCGATCTTAATAAAATCAATAATGTTTAAAAGTGGTGCATATATTTTATTTCGTTCATTTTCTTAACTTTTTCTCGCATTTCCTTAAATACGTTGAAAAGGATGGTTTTCCTAAGAATCTTCCACTTCGAAAAACGTATTCATTAATTCCTTGAACTTACCAATATAAGTAATAAGTACACATTTGAAAACATTTCTTGTGAGGGTGGTGCTATTATTTATTTTCGCAACTGTCTGTGTTGCATAACAGACAGATTTGGTGTGACACATAATGAAAATATCAAGATGAAATAGAATGATATCATCATTCAAATCGCATGCTTACTTTGTGCTGTTTGTGTGTGTGTGTGTGTGCGTATATGCATAAGTATTGAGCTTATACCTATCAGCAACCGACTAACTGACTTATCTGGCTGTTACTCAACTGTCTGACGACGTCTTTTGGGCCATGGCTTTTAAAGTGGCCCTTGGATCTGTGGAGATAGGTAAATTGTTATTTGTTTTATTTACAAGACGCTCACAAATATAACGTGTGCAAATGTTTTAATTAAATAAATGGAAGGGAAACGAAAGGAAAAATTTAGAATAGTTAATTTACTCATATACATATATATGTATATTTGGCTGGGCCAGTAAGTTATCTGAGATTGCCACATAAACTAACGTCGAGATAGAGGCATTCTTTATTGCTTCGTGCCAATGAATAAAAATTGGACGAGAATTAAGCAATAATCGCTCTGCCGATAAGATAGCAAACGCTTTAATGGTTGCCTTAAGTTGCTCGCCTTACTAACTTTGTTGTTACTTTCATTTTCACTGGCCAGGGACGGGTGCGTAATCCGCGAGCCGCAAGTTTCAAACTGACCAACACTTATCGCGATCCTAGAAGCTTTAATGGGATTAGCAATGATATGATAAATCATTCAACTGAAAAACCGACTCATCGACTTCAAATTTAGCATGAGACATTTGTTCGAAATGGTAGCACGCAGAAGAAGATATTTGCTACCACATAGATTATATATTCATTCTTGATAACGTCGATATAGCCATAGTATCTAAATCCAATCACCTAGTGTCTTGAAACTTGGAACATATACTGGTCTGTGTCTACGTCAAACAAAGTATCAAAATCGGGGTGCTACGTCCACTAGAGGATATAAAATCGATTAATTTGATAGTCGCTAATCAATAAACCCATATATCTCCCACTATTTCAATGAATTCGACTACATATGGTTGGTAGGTTGCTGGCGATGTCTTTCCGAAAGTAGGCGACACCAGAAATGAGAATATCTTCCGTAGTTTTTGAGTTAGATAAAGAAGAAGAAGAAATTTGAGTGTAGTTTACTAGAAACCTCCTTCACAGATTGGTAATTCTTGGCTACACCAACCCCGTTCTGGGGCAACCGTTATTAGATGGTATTACTTATTGGTTTCAGAGTATTTCACAGTCGGTTACATCCTACGCGTTCTAGGGTTCTTTTTTGAATATCAAAAAGAGGATCAATTTCAATTAATTCGTATTCTGAACAATACTGCAAATGCCATCAGATTAATCAGATCTGTATGCATTTGTAATCTTCGTCGTGCCTAAGATAGTTATCTTGTTATCTTTTATATATAAAATGTATAATTTATGTTAAACATTACGCTTTGTGTTCTGAGTGGATCTCTGACTCTTCTACACAATCTTTACCTCAAATTGTTGATAACATTTTCTAGTTGAGTACACTAGTCCAAAGCCGACGTCTCAACACAACACAATCTCCGCTTGTTCAATTGCTACCCAATCTTTGTTTGTTCCCCAGCTGACGTGGGTGGGTTTTTTCGCCATATTCACAGATCAAATGACAAACTGGCTATAAAATTACAAACTGTAAACTATTTTAAGCGCTGCTAACCAACGGAGCGCATCACTTGCTGCCCCCAATGGCATGGCAATAATCAGATCCAATTTAAGGTCGAATACATGAATTTGGAATTTTGAATGCAATAAGTTAAAATCGAGGGTGGTGATGATAAACATTTCAGCTGCAGCCTGAAATTATTATGGTCTTTAATGCTATATTTAGACGACTTGCAAAGTAAATATTATGAATCGACAAATGTAGCACATTTGGATGTCAATGGGCAATTATCATTGGAAAGATCAGTAGTCTACATTTTTAATTACTTGCACGTCTTTCTAATTTTGCCAATTAAAATTTATGCACATTGGCGACTAGAACCAAATCCCAAATCCACTTTATATAAATATGAGACTTGCAAGTGAAAATCTCGAGAGAGAAAAAAAAAATAGTAGAGAAACAAAGACTGTCGCCCGAGTTGGTTCGCAAATTGGCAGCAATTGTTGTCAATTTAAAATTGAAAAGAAGTCAAATGTTGACAGGAATGTTCAAGCTATATATGTGTATGTAAATGCTTATTGTATGTATGCAGACATGGATCTGTGAAGTACGCACGTAGGTACGTATATATATATATATATATATATATATATATATTTTCACATGTATAAGTGGGCGCTATCTAAGTGCCATTTTTTACTTATCTGCGATGCTCTACAAAATGCTCAAGTATCTGTGAGTGTGTGTGGTTGTGTGTGTGTGTGTGTGTGTTTGTGTGTGCTTGGATGCCTTGTATATCATGTCTCAAGGTAATCTTTTGATAATCAAGTGTTACGTTAAGCTCGCTACCCAAGCTGATAAAGCCGACAGACTACAAGCTGTTACTACTACATATATAAATATATGTGTATGATTATCAATTGCCATATAAACCGCATACATGCACATATATGGTATTCATATAGTACATCGGCCAGTTGGGCAATTGACAAGTGTCTGAGATTCAAATGACTTATGCGTTTTCCTATTATTGCAGCTTAAGCTGGAAATGCACTTAAACGAAGCTATTGAGCTATTACCTGAGCGCAATTTAAGGAACCTGGACATGGCCCTGAATAAGGGCAAATACAAGCCGACAATCTGTTCCGTCGATGAGGTGGACGATCGCAGCTATAAGCTTCACACCGGTCAGCAGCAGAATGATGAGCGCAATGATGGCGGCCTGGGCAGCAAGCAGCCGACCGAGGGCAGCGAAACGGCGCCGCTGACAACCAATCAGCAGAAGCTTCACATGGACGATGCTGGACTCACGCCCAAGGAGCTCGAGGCTGCACGTAAGGAGGCGCTTAGCGATGCCAGTGCAGTGGGTGGTGTTACGCCCACCGCAAATACACCAAACTCGACGCATGCATCTGCAAATGGACTCAGAGGTAAGACAGATAAACAGACAGAGAGAGAGAGAGAGAGAGAGATTTCAATTACAATTCCACCCAAATCGTTGTCACTATTCAAACTTGCATTTTTAATTGCATAAATCAGTTCTGAGCCAGGCGGATTCGATCTGATCATTGAATATATCAAATTAATTTACATTGTATATTCGTGATAATGATTCAGATTCAAAATAGGTTCTGGATAAAACCAACATTTGAACACAGTTCAACAGGTTATATTTGATATTTTAATGATATAATTTGCCTTCATAAGAACAACCTGTCTTTGTTAGATGTTTGTACTTCAATAAATCACTTCACAAAGCATTTAAGCATAAAAATGAATGAAAAGAAACTCTAAACATATCGCAAACAAAAGGCTTATGTTAATGCTATAAAGCGGATAGTGCTAAACCATAATGTTCTTTTCTGAGAATTGTCTACACTTAGAATAAAATCTCTTTAAAATTTCAGAAAAACGCCTTAATTTGGGCGCAATGATTCAGATCGTATATTATATATTTCTAAAAGAGACGATATCATCTCTAAAAACTAGGATTTTTCGTTTCTTAATTCCAGTGTAAATTTTTCTAAAATGTAGAAAAATTATGTTTAATTTACAATGTATTTTGTATATGTGCATACGGAATTCGAACTTTCACTTTTTTGTTACCTAGATTATTATTAAATTTATTGTTTTAATACTCTACTCTTTACTCTCTACTCTTTAGATTAGTTTATGAATTCATACATCTTTATTTGAAAAACTTCACATTTTATGGTGATTCGAATTCGCAACAGCAAATATAAATTGTTTCTTCTGAATTTTAAAAAGTATTTTTCTAAAAATATGAATATTATTTATACTTTCTCGAAATGTATATCTTAAGAAAATACAACATTTTTAACAAATCGAATAATATATATATTTATAAATTATTTCGTATCACCAGAAAAAGTATCTAGCTTTTAGGATGATTTTCTAAATTTCGGTGTGATTTTTTTTTGAGTGTAAGTTCGAATAACGAACGCTGTTTGAATATTTTATACCTCGATTTAGGTAGTCTGCCAATTAATCTCCTGTCTATTTAGTAGCTATGAAGATTTGAGCATTCATTCATCATAATCATATTTCATGCACATCTCATAAAAATTTCATGCGCCGCCTTATCATTTGCTGGATTATCTGAAGCTCTGCTGCTTCCAGGACGACGCTCCTTTGACGCACTGATGAGCCTGTCGCGCAAGCGTCGCATCTTGTATGTGACCACAGTCTGCCTCTGCGCCGTGCTTCTGGTGATCATCATCATGCTGGTGGCCTTCTGGCCGGAGGTGCCCTTCCATATGCGAGCGCCGCTCTGCCTGCAGCGGGAGTGCGTCGAGAGCAGTCGCCAGCTGCTGCTCTGGGCCAACACAACGAAGAGTGCCTGCCACGAGACATACGATTGGGCTTGCGGTAACTTTGGCCGGGAATACGCCGATAGCGAATACTTTGTGATCAAGCGCGGCGAATGGAACTATAAGACTTATAATGAGTATCAGGGTAAGCATTTGGCTATATCTCAACTTATCTTATCCTAAATTAATCAATTTATTTCATATTCCAGAACTCAACGAACTGAATCGTTTTATCTCCATGCTGCCCAATGCCGCCGAGGGTGCTGTTGAGTCCACCATAAGCAGCCTCTATCGCAATTGTCGCGACATCGATGCCCTGGACAAGAGCCAGTCGGATCTATTGCTCAAGCAGGCTATGAAATCTGTGGGTAAGTTGCCCCGACGACGACAAGCAGGGTATTAAAACCAATGAACCAATGATTGGTTAAGGCGTCAACTACAAAACCATCCCAATAGTCAGGCAGATCCCACAGCTACAGTTCTAGGCGCTGCTTAGCCAACTCCAGGGCAATTCCAGATAGTCTCAACGTTTTTGGTTTTGGTTTTGCCTTAGCCATTTGCTTCCTCATTCTGTCTGTCTGTTATTCTGTGTGTAGTTTTGGTCCTCCACTTGTATATCCCTTAAATTAAAATAAGATCAGATTTCATCTTCAATGCTGACATCGATTTTTTTTGTATTTTTAATATTTGTTCATCTGAGAGCCATTTTATTAAAGAAATTTACGAAAAAAAAGTTGTTTAGACTATTAAACTATTGTAGATAAAAAAAAAATTCGTTAACTTCTGCTGAAACCCAACTAGTGGCTAGGTGGCAAGTACGTGGAGGACTGAGCGGCCTTGTGAACGGTGTTCAGACCAATGCCTCCACTGCCGCCGCTGATGAGTCCATGGCTGGCACCGGTTCCATAGCTGCCGGTGTTCACAGAGCTGCCGCTGCTGCTAATGTGACCACCGAGAATGCCGACGACAGACTGTGCGGGTGCCACGCCTCCATCTGTGTGCTCCGAGCTGCCCTCGATTTGGTCGTATTCGGCTATGAACGCAAAGTGTGTGTTTAAGTCAAATATGACTCTATATAAATTTTGAACTTGAATCGTTGTCGAACTTACCCTGAATCTGTTGCTGGACATGCTGGGCCTCTGCGTCTGTCTTGTACTTGATGAAGAAGACCTCGGGCTTGCTGGGAATTGTGGGCGCGGGTGTGGCAATATCGTTGACTTCCAGCGTGGAGTCCTTCTTGCTGAGCACATAGATGACAGTCTTCTCCTCCTTGGGTGCATACTCGGCCGACAATTTAACATTGGCGTTGCTCGAGGATGGCGCCTTGATGAACACAACGCGATAGTTCTTCTGTGGACGGCCAATCACCAAGTGCTTGACACGCTCCAGACTCTGATTATCCTCCGGCGCGGCGACCGTTATGAATTGTTTGTGCACAAGTGGCGCCTCAAAGCCAACTTGTTGGTCCACCTCCTGCTGTTGCTGATCGCTGGGCGCCTGATATCCAGCGAGTCCGCCAAAGCCAATGTTGGGCGAGGGTCCAAAGCCAGTAAAGCCGCTGCCAGAGGAGCCGCCATAGCTGGCGCCGCCATAGCCAGAGGAGCTGCGTCCGCCATAGTTGGTGGTTGATGAGCTGCTGCTATAGCCAGAGCCAGAACCGCCGTAGCCAGAACCGCCGGAGCCAGCGAAGTAGCCTGAGCCAGAGCCAGAGCCGGAGCCAGAGCCAGTGCCGCGCAGTGAGCCAACGCTGGCGCCCTGGAAGGCGCCCAGTGGTCCATATGTAGCCACATTGTTGCTGCCGGTGCTGGGTGCAGTGAGGAATCCTCTGCTGCCACCGCCCGCTGTCGTCAGAGTGCCAGAGACGCCGCTGCCATAGTTGTAGCCCTGTGGCTTGGCTTGAGCCAAGACCAGAAGCGAGCAAAGAGTCTGAGAGAGAGAGAGAGAGATAGAAAGAGAATGTGTAAGTCCAATATGCTGGTAATCCTTGTGTTATCCTTGTGTTGCCTTACCACAAAGAGACGCATGTTTTAAGTTGAACTTGGTTTGAATTCAGTTGCTGATTAACTGTTGCTGCTCCTCGCTGTCGTTTGGTCTTTTATAGTCGGATATCAGTAGACCCCAGAGCGATTCCGCTATTCCCTATTCAGAAATACTTAACATTCAATCGACAAAAAAAAATATATATTCATATTTCTGATACTATCGTTGTTGTTGTTGTTGTTGTCTTCGGTGGTATTTCTTCTATAATATCGCGGCTAATTAATTGCTCAATTATTTGACTATGCGAACCTCTGACATTTGACTTGATGCTCAAAGCTTCTCTTTCGCTCTGTCTCTCTCCCTCTCGGTCCAGCTATCTCTGTTGCTCGTACTCGCTCGCTAGCACCTCTTCTTTTCTGGCTTCCTTTAATGTGACGCGTTGATTGACGATTGTTGTTGCTGCTGCTGCTGCTGCGGCCATAAATCATTGCTTCAAGTGATAAGTTTCCAACTCTTCATCCAACGGCCATTGACAACGCATCAGCATTAGCTTAAGTAAACAGATTAACAATCAAAATACAATGAAATAAAAAAAACCAACGACATTATTTCCGTTGCAATCTTTGCAGCTAAATGCAAATTCCTTGAGTTTTGAAATGATCGATTGATTTAATCATTAAAGTGCAGAATTTTGTATTCGATGCTTAAAGTTGAACAAGGTGCTAATATTTTAGCAGCTCAAAATAACATGTGGCTTAGATATCTAATACTAAATGTATGTTAAATATAAATAATTACACAATTGAACTATTTGCATACGTTAATATTTCATATTTACATCGAGCGGCTAAATGTTTCCTGATTACAACATTATTTATTATTATTTATTAATATTAAAATAGTGTAAAGTGTATATAATTATATTAGAAAATCATATCAAATATAAATAACATATAGCTGGCAAAGAAATAATTGAAATATGTATATATACTATGTAAATTGAACTTTTGTATGAGAAACATTTTTGTTGGTTTAATTTTGGTGTAAAATTAGTATTAACATCAAGAGAACAAGTTAAATGTTTTTTTTTTTTTTAATTTTTACACTCTCACTTTAATTTGTCTACTTCTCACGGCTTCTATTCTTACCAATCTTGTTTTTCGATTGATTACATTTTTTCTTCTTCTCTATTTTTTTATTATTAATGAACGCAATTTATTGGCTGTCTGAGTTGAAATGGTTAATATACAAGTTGAATGGTTGTTCTTTTTTGTTTTCCAAACAAATTCTCTGGGATTTTTCTTAAACATTTTACGCACAATACTTCCGCAATGGGATTTTTGTTTGACTTGACGGGCTGTGTCTTAACTAAAAAGTATTAAATTATGCATAAGCCTCAGGCTAGGATTGAAAATATCATGGATTACAATTTTAATACGCCCCTTGGCTAAAATTAATGATACAGATTCAAGACTGTAGTCCATTGACGCAGACAATTAAGTCATAGCCAATAAGCAGGCAAAGCTTGTTTGCAAAACATTCAATGACAGCGCAGACATCGACAAATACATTCAAGTGTTCATTGGAGGAAGTCGATTCATTTCCCACCCCTTTCACACATATTTGACGTATATGAAATGAATTTCAGTTTATTGTTCAAGTAAAAAAAAACTAACTAGCTAGCACATGCCATTGTGCCCAGGGGAATCCTTAAATTTAAATAAAATAAATCAGTTTACAAAAAAAAAAAATAATAATAATAAAAATATATTTGTTGCTTTTATGATAAAGCTTTCTGAAAACCAATATAAAATACGCACATCCATACAAAGGTACACAACTTTTCGGAAAGTGAATTTTAGGCTGAATTGTGTTTTTTTTTTTGTACATATATTTATTGGTTTAAGGTTGCATTCATTATAATCAAATGATTAAAAGTTTCCGAGGATTTTTGTAATTCATCTAAAGTAAAGTCGTATTTTGTATACCTTTGCAGATGGTATGATAATTTAGGAGGGGTCTCAGACCCCATAATGTATATATATATATATTCTTGATCAGCACCCCTAAGCGACTCGATATGCTATGCAAACTCGCTTCAGCTCTAGTTAATATTAAGTTAAAAATCATTATAATATAGCTACCATAGGATCAATCGGTCAACAGCTGAGTTAAATTGTGAGATCGAGATAGGCATAGACATACAACCCTAATTGAACAATATTAAACAAATGTAGAACTTCCATCTAACACTAAAAAATAAATCAAGTAAGAACGATATACCTTGAACTCGGTTAAATATTCTAGCCGGCACAGGTACTGAAATTAAAATAAAAAAAAAAAACGAACTGAAATCACTGATTTGCGACAAACGCGTGCATATCCATAAAATCCAATGGGTTCAATTCAAATTCAATTATCTCCTAGTCTGCAAGGGTATGTAATCTTCGGCGGGTCACGTTTCATACAATATCAAATCAATCAAATTATTAAAAGATTCCCTAGAATTTTGAGAAACTCATTTGAAGTTGTCTTTTTTTGTATCTTTCCATTTTTCTTCCGTATTCAGAAAATTATTTCGATAATTACTGTACACGATTTCCTGTGTGTCTCTCGTAGATTTTATTGATAAGCCAAAAAATGTATGAATAATGTGGCTTAGTATAGAACTACTAATTGAATGGATGGATGGAATGCCATATGACTGAGATGGTGGGCCGAGGTTCAATGAAGACATACTGGTCACAGTTGTCGCGACTTTGGGCCAGTCTTAGGTAATGGGCTGGCTAATGCTATTTGTAAATCGAAGCATTTCCATTTTCATTTGATAAGCGCGGCTGGTGGCGGTGCGCATCTAAACAAAAAGATGACTCGATTATGTTGGGTCATTTATATTTTTGGATAGCGGCTAAAAACAGAAATTCCAAACATCGCAACGCATCGCAACATCTTATTTGTATTTATTTTGTATTTATTTATTTATATATTATTGAAAAATTTCATTATAATTGGCATAATTTGAATGCGCTTTGGGGCGAGCTTTGTCGGTGGCTTCTGCGGCCGATCTGCCATTTGCTTAAGACCACATTTTATATGGCTTGAATGTTATGATTTATGCGAGTTAGCCACCTTGAAAAAGCAGATTTAAATCAAGTCCACCAAATTACTTATAAGTCTTTGGCGGGAGATTTTTTTTTTAAATTTTTAATGGTCACATATATATTTCAATTAAGCACCGTGTGTGGGTCATGTGGCTCAACCCAAAACGAATGACTTAGAACACAAACTTCTTGCCGGGCCAATTAATGCATTTGTCCTTGAATATTTCGCTTGCATAACTTTTCCTCTATTGTATTTTTCTCTTTTTTTGTTTGCGTTTTGTTTTAGCATGTGTTTTTTTTTAAATTTTGCGCATTTGAAGATTAATAGCTGCCAACTGGTGCGGTTTGCCTGCCAATCACAAAAAGGTCGCCCGGTTGATGTCCAGATATGGTCGCCGCTTTCAATATCCCATTAATTAAATGCAAATGCAAATAAATCTAAACAAGCTGCTTGCAAAGAAGCAAATAAAATAAAAAAAAGGTGCATTGAAGTTTTTTATATTTTGCAAAATTTATGCAAATTAAGAGTCAGGTGACTCCAAGCTTAACGAATCAGGGAGCCCCTGCTGCTGATACAGCACAGTTTGCACAACTGTTCAAATGATTGTAATATGTATATTAACCATTTCAGTTTTGTGAATGAATTGTTCTATGTTTTCATTGTCCAGGACTCGAGTTTTGACTCTTACATAAATCAATCTTATATTTTTTAATTTAAGTAAGTGCAAAGTTCTTTCACGTATATCTCACTGATACAAACTTATTTAGAAATAAATAGCTGTATAAAGTTTAAAAGTTTAACGAAAAAATCAGCTGATTTCTAAGATGTATCAATTATAAAGTATATATATTTATTGTTGTATTTAATTATATTGTTCACATGCGCAGCACCTGCCTCGCTTGACCACAGGGTCAAAGCACTTTGCAAAAAAAAGGAAAACATAGTTTTTGATGTATAAAAAAAAATCAGCAGGGAGGAGCTTTAGTCGAGAAAACTCGACCAGCAGATACCTTGTGCACAAGTGTTTATCTCTTATAATCCGTCTAATTGCCATGGTTAGATTGATTCCACTTTTGTTGCCGATCATCAATGTGTGTCTAAATATACTTAATGTAATCGGATATGTTTCTCTATGCTTGACACACCTTATAACAATCCATTTGGTTACAGGGTATCAGCAAAAAGAAAGAAGAAAATCACACAAAACACAACGCTATCAAAAAGTGTGCGAGATGAACTTTTTGTTACGACGATTTTGTTGTTGTTGCGTTTACTTTGGATTGGATGATTGGGGTTTTATTTGAATCGGTTTTGTCTTCATTTTTAACGCTCATCGTATTTATGCAAATGCTGCTACCCAGCAATGTTAATTAGATGCTTAGTGGTGCACGTGCGTCGATCGTTAAATCGACACCAACCGAAACAAATGCCATCCGCACTCTTCAGTTCAGAAGAAACGTGCCGTGGGTTTTTGGTATGCATAGCCGGCTGTAGCAGCTGGTGGTTGACTAGCTGGAATAGCTGCATCCACTGCACCGACTACTGAGTGCACGGCCGCTACATATGGAGCTGCATGTTCCGTATTACCGCCCAGTTCATCGAATTGCGTTTGGATCTCACGCTCGGCGGCGGCCGCCTCCTCGTTCGTCCTGTATCGAATGAAGAAGACGTCTGGCTTTGTGGACGCTACCGTCTGCCGCTTGGGTGGCTGAATATCGTGCGCCTCCAGCTCCGGCTGTTTGCGGCTCAACACATAGATAACCGTTCGCTCCTCCTGTGGCGCCAACTCCGTCGTATATTTAACGGACTCGCTTTGAGCACTGGGTGCACGGATGAAGATGACACGATAGGTGCGCATCGCTCGTCCAATTAGTAGATGCTTTGTGCGCGGCTGCAGCTCCTCGGAATCCTCAGCAGCCGATACGCTGTAGAACTGTTTCGTAATAATTGGTGGCGGTGTCGCCGCAATACTTTCACTTGTCGCCGGTGGCAGATAGAAACTTGACGGCACCTGCGTTTGGCCGAAACCAAAAAGCGATACCGAACTGAGGAATGCAATTAGAGTGCCCAACGCGATCATGCTGTTGTGGATGCCACAAAATGTGTGTGTGGCAGCTGATGTGCCACGGTCATTTTTATCTACTTTTGGATGTTTGGGGAAAATCACAATTTTTGCACAGATTTCATTTGTTTTTCTTTTTGCGGCCCAATTAGTAGGTGAAAAACAAAAGACTTAGGCAACAAACTTGCCGCAAATTAATTATGCGTTTAATATGGCCATTGAGTGAAAACAAAAGAGTCGTTAAAAAAAAAAAACTTTATTGTAACCACATAAGATCTTTAAGCATTCGTTTGTAAAATGCATATGAAATAATGCTTGGGCAAACGCAATCCGCGAATTCGGCCCTAACATTAACTTCATATATTTCTTTAAGATGGGAAATGTTTTGAATTCTCCATTGGATTTGTTTGACGAGACTAAAAACATCTCATATAGATGTAGGATTTGTCTCACTTCACATGGCTCATTCATATTTAATCGTTGACCAATACAAATCTGACTATTGCTCAACTTATATTCAGCCCCAGTCAACGCCTACGCACATTATTATATATATATATATATATTTATTTTATATTTTTTTTTTGACTAATGAGCTTGCCCCGAGCTCTGATCTAATCTGTGTGCTTACACACTGATAAATTCACAGCCCAAAAATGTCGAATTTATTTTAGATACTCGTATTAGTTTCGGTGCGTTGCGCAGCCTCGTTGCTGATTAGTAGATTAATTCGTTTTGGCTTGGCTGCGTTGTCAACAAGTCGAGACAATTAAAATATTAATAGCGGTGTTTCTTTTTTTTGTTTTATTATTATTATTTAGTTTTTTTTTTTTGAGAATTTATACGGCGGCTTGACATCGATTCCGATTCAGGCCTCGATGCGCATCGATTTGCATAAATTGACGCGTAATTCCCACACTTTCATGTCGTATTTGGCAAAATGGTACAACTAATTTGATTTATCATCGGTTTTATTAAGAAAAATTGCTTCGCTCGATAGCTGGGCGGCATGAAAAGTGATACAGATGTCGATGGTCTTGCAGCCAGCTTGTCTCGCGAAGGTTGTTCCATCTGTTATTGTGTTTCTTGTGTTTTCTTGACACAGTTCAGTCTAATGGAGCACACTAAATTATATTCTTTAAGATGCAAGCAAACAGTCTATTCACAATACCAACACAAATTTTAAGTTTAATTTGGCTTCTAGAGAGACCAAAAATTAACAGCTTAAAAGTTTTCGGAATTATTCTAGACAAAAATGTAAAACTAAATGCATTTCTTCATCAAAAAATTGTGTATTTCAGTCAAATCTGTTAAGAACCAATAATTTTGTTTTATATTTGATATTTAGTATTATTAGTCGAGTATAAACAAGGATCTCCGAGATTTTATGAGCTAGAACTTTAGTTCTCGTACACCACATGATATATAATATCCCTTAACATATTGTTAATCAACTGAAAGATCCCATAATATGTTTTATGGATATGCACGCGTTTGTCGCAATCCTCTGATTTCAGTACGGCTAGGTGAATATCGTTTATTTTTCAATCTGCAGTTTATTTTTAATCTGTGCCTGTCATAAGAAATGAGAGTACTTCCACGCATGCTTACATTTGAGTGTACAAAACTTTTTACGGGAAATTTCGCAACAAAACTAAAATATATTTAACAGCTGGGTTCAAAGTATAGCGTAGCATTCTTACTTGCTGTATACTAAATCTTTAGCATTTTAAGTTCCTGACCTTAATTTATATATGCATATTTTCGCATTTAAAGTCAATTGCATAAGTAAGGATAAGCCTTGAAGCGAGTGAAGAAGACGTCCGTCCAACACATTAAATACACAAACTCTGAAGAATCTTAGGTAATACCAATAATTTTCAATGGATGTCTTCGAGTCGATTCGGTTTGTTAAATATTCAACTGCTGGGTAAATGCAGTCAATTTGTCGACCGTATATATACAACAGTATTTGAACACTTTGTTGTTAACGTCTCGAGTTGCGTTAACCACAAATGCAAAATTATGCAGCTTGATTTGATCTCTATTTTTGGTCCACTCCCCGGACGTCGTATTTTGTCATGCGGCGTCAGTTTAACGATCGGTTGAAGAAAAGATGCTCCGTTTTATTCAATTATAATTAAATTTGATGAGCTTATTTTGATTTCTCACTTCATTTAAGCTAATTTTGAGCCATTTCAGGCGCCGGGCGCTTTGTTGAGTGTCGCATTTTGGACGTTTAAATTTGTTGATTTGCATTTGAGCATTTTGCTTTGGGCCACTTCGGACCTTTTTATTAGCTGCTTTACTTGTTTTGAGCAACATTTCAATTTATTTATGGCATTTTTATTAATTTTTTAAATGGCATTTTATAGCGCGGAAACTACGCGACCTTACCAATGGAAGCATCTTTAAAAAAAAAATGTTGCGTACTTTTTAAATATACAGTTCATTTATTTTTCTTCTTTTTCAAAAACAAATAACAAAAACATAAAACAAAAATATAAAAAAAAAACAAAAAAAAGTCAAGTACAAAAAAAAAATATAGTTGTGCTTAAAACTAAACAACATTTAACAAATCGGGAAAGGATATAGGTGTGTGTGTGTGTGTGTGTGTGTGTGCGTGCGTGTGCTGGTGGGGGGAGTTAAGCAAATGAGTGTCCTTTAAAGCCTCAAAGCACTGGGAAGATATTGAGCACTGGGATGAATGCTCGGACGACTGGTCTGGCGATAGTTGTAGCTGCCATCGGGATTGTGGCCTTCGAGACTGCCAATAACCGATGTGATTGGTGCATTGTTCTCCTCCTGGTACTCGTTAGTGCCGCCCAATTTATCGTATTGTCCCTGAATTTCCTTCTGTGCGTGGTTGGCCTCCTCGTCGGTCTTGTATTTGATGAAGAACACCTCCGGCTTGCTGGGCTGCGTTGGCGCTGGTGTTGCAATATCGCCAGCATCGAGATCGTTATCCTTCTTGCTCAGGACATAGATGACGGTCTTCTCCTCCTGTGGCGCAAACTCGGCCGAATACTTCACATTGCCATTATCGCCTGCAGGCGCCTTGATGAACACAACGCGATAGTTCTTTTGCGGTCTGCCGAGCACCAAATGTTTCACTTTGCCATCGTTGCCGCGATCCTCTGGCGCTGACACCAAATAGAATTTCTTATTGATTATCGGAGCCGATGTGGTGCTGGCCGGCGGTAGATATTTGTCACCGGCATGATTTGACAGCGGCAGCTGACCAGGATTTGGCAATCCAACGCCAATGCCGCCACTAATTAAGTCGCCAACCTGTGGCTGCTCATAGCCGTACTGAGGACGTGCCTCGGCCAGGATCAGTAAGGCGGCGCCGATGACGCAGCCCAGCACAACTTGAGACGATATGAAGCGCATTTCGTATAATGTGTTTATATGTTTGTATGTGTGTGTGTGTGTGTGTGTGCGTTTGTGTATTTGTGAGTTATCCTTGTGTAATCCTTGCTAATCGCGTCGCGTTCGTTTTGGGTACGTTTTGGCTTGAATCGCTCTGGGGCAATGGTTGCATTTCTTACCGCTCCACTTGACTTATATGCGCTGCCTCCCAAGACGCTGCTGGCTGCGCTGCCGGCGTCATTTGTTGGCCGCTTGTTGTTGTAATTTATGTAAATTGCCAGCGACGTTGCTTTTGGTCATCATCGCAATAACAATCCGATTATTCAAGATTCAAAATACATAGGCCCAAGCGAGAGTCGCTGCCACAAATGTATTCAAATCTCTTTCGAATGCACAAAAAATATATATATATATCTCACAGATGCGTCTTGCGACCTGCGTTGACTCGGCGCCAATAAGTAGTTTGGGGCGTGGCCGATTCTTGTAGCCATGGTTTACATTTCAATAATAAAGCTCATAGATCTTGACAAAAGCATCTTGCCTCTTTCTTCATTTTGCTTTTTGTATGAATATACATATGCATACGAAGATAAATATATATATATATATATATATATAAATTGGTGTCTTTTTTTTGGCAGTTTTGGCATTGAACTTGACTGTTTCGCTGTCCTCACAGTCGTGTGGATTATTAATAGATTCATAGATCGTCGCCAAATATATAGAAATTTTGCCAGGTTTGTAGGCTTGTTGACCGTTTGCATCTTATTAAATGGCATCTCAACTTTAGGCCTCCAGTTCAGCAAAAAACAATCGCCCAACATTTGTATAGCCAAACTTGTTTGCTGGGTTTTTTCTTTTGCTCCCCCCTAGAGTAAGACAGCTGACCTGTCCATCAGTAAATTGATCGATTAACTTGCAAATTCGCAACAGTTAAAATATGATTTCATGCATCTCAATATGAATGAATCGATCTGATTCAATACAAAATCAAACGACGTATACAAAAATGAATCATTTTTGAAAAGGTTGAAGGCTATCTTCAATCTAATTTTAGAAATATTTTTAATTTACACAATATCACAATCTAATTAATCCTCCTAAGAACTATAGACATAAGTGTAAGCAACTGTATTATTATTATTATTATAAGTACTTTATATTATTAAACGTGTTTGTATTTTTATAAATTTATTAGCTAATCTTTGATAGGCAATTGACTTTACCGTTTAAAGTGTGGATTATTGTTTTAATTCGATGTGGCACTTATATTTAAAGCGTAAAGAAAATGATTTCCTATATGAAGAAAATTATACAAAACTAAGTATACCAGTATCCAGTACAAAGACTGAAAATGAAACCTGCTTGATAGTTCAGAGTGCATGCTATTATCGAGTTCAACAAAAAGATGATGAAACTAAATCTATTTTAATGTTAACTTCTTATTTAATATCAAGTTCAACTGATAGCTATGCTAATGAATTCATTAAGAAATAAATATATTAATAATAAAGTTAAACCCTTTATTTATATATGCCTATTAAATACCAAGTTTCCCAATCGAAATGTCTTTTAAATATAAATAAATCTATCTGTCTATATTGAGCATTTCTCAGTTGGAATTTCCAAAGCAACCATCATGTCTACATTTGTTTTTATTCTTCGGCTACTATGGCTAAACAATACTTTATTTGGTGGCCTCCTAAACCACTCAGCAACAACAATAGATATATATGTGTGTGTGTGTGTGTGTGTGTGTGTGTCTATGTGCAGATGTATTTGCGGCTGATGAGTCAGCCGCTTAGCGAGTGCACAAACCAACGGAAGCATGCGACACATTCACCTGGCCTGGTCTGGCTTGGCTTGGAGGTCGCCACAAAGAGCGCCATAAAACAAAATTTGGCCAAATGTGGAAGCAGAAGAATTAGCATATGGGCAAATCGATTTATGAGCTCACTTGCTGACTTGTCATTGTGATTGTTGATTGATAGCAGAACATAAACCTAGCAAAACAACCAAAAAAAAAAAAAAACAAAAAAAAACAAGCGCTAAAACAAATGTCAACTAAATATCGGTAAACTTGTTGGATGTAGGTATTCACTAATTATAATTATAATTTAGTAATTAGCAACTATATGCCTGATTCAAAGGCGAACAAAATGATAATTATCAATTAGGCATTCCGTACCCATAATTTCATATCTCAAAAGCCGAAAAAAAAAACATCATCAAGAAATTTATGTAATTTTTTATGAACGTTGACAGTAAAATCCGAGGGACAAATTTTTGACTCGTCTCAATTCGATTCGATTCGATTTGATTCGACTGGCAACAGATCGTATCGTTTATTTAGTAGGTGTGATTATCTTTATGCAAAGATCGCGGGGCATTAATATGCAGATGCTTTCAGATATAAGATATGCATTTCTATATCTAATATAAAAAAAATATCAAACTAAAATACCAAATATCAGGTAGCATCTGCCAGCGGTTGTAATCCATATATTGATCATAAATTTTTGATTTAAGGCGGTGTTATACTACTTGGGGCGTGGCTGCCATCCCATCGTTGCCTATACATATGTGCACATATATAATTCTGTATGTGTATGTGTATGTGTGTGTGTGTGTGTGTGTGTGTATTTTTCTGTACATTTGAATACTGTCTGGTATTTTAATGCGTTGCATTGGTGAATCGACCTTGCAGCACGTTGCTGCTCTCCGAATTTGATTTCGAGTTGACTTTGTTTTTGTATCAGTATTAGTTTATATTTTTTTCTCTTATTTTTTTTTTTATTTATTTAAGACGCTAATTTATTTGCCATCGATTTCGCTGGTGGTGCTTCACCAAGTCTTGCTCTGTCAATTTTTCTATAGTTTTCAGTTGCTGTTGCTGTTTTTGTTGTTGTTGTTGTTTTTGAGTGCTGCAGTTTCAACAATTATGAACAGCTTGCCAAATAGCCGACTGGTCGGAGCGTGGAGCGTAGGGTCGTGTGTGTGTGTGTGTGTTTGTGGAGGCGAGAGGGGGGAGGGGGTGATGGAAATGCTTTTAGGCGCCCGGTTATGCAAGACAAAATATTTCAGAAGCGCTGACATTTTTCATTAATTTATGGTTAACTTGCTAATTATATTAAATTGTTCTATATATTAATATTTGATTAAGTTGGCCTTTCAACTGTATTTTTAACGAATCTGAAATTATTGTTTCCCTCAACTTTATTTCACTCACCACTCAAGGTTAAAAACCTTGAAATAATACTTCAAATCATTTTTATGAATGCTTAAAGAAATCCTTAACTTTTATTAAAAAAAAAATTGGAAAAAAATAGGGGTTTGGCTTTGCATAGATCGCAAGATTAATCTAGAAGAATATCGCAAAAGTTACATTTAACAAATTCTAGCAAAATAATCGCCGTGGATTATTCAATTAGAAACAAGAATCGATCGAGTGCGTGTCCAGTCAGATGTTGACTGGCTCTGGTTAGTTTCTGGGTGATGTTTTGGTGCAGGGCAGACATTGCAAGAGCTTAGTACTTGACCGACCTGATTGGCTTGGCGGGCAGATAAGTGGTTTGGATAACATTGTTGCCAATGAGACCACTGCCACCACCGCCAATGAGACCATTGCCACCACTGACAGTGGTTTGGGTGTTACTGCTGCCGCTGCCATCGAACTGCAAAGCACCACCGTTATTGGCACCACCGACGATGGTATCGACAATTGGTGCACCGCCAGTGCCAATAATGTTGACGCCACCGGAGCCATCGGACAGAACGCCAGAGGCGCCATTGTCACCCAAGCTGTTAATGACCGAGGAGGCAGGCACCAGACCCTCATCAGTAGACTGCGAGCTGCCGCCCAAAGCATCATAGTTGGCTAAAAGAGTAAGAGAGAGAGAGAGAGAGAGAGATATAGGGAGAGTTGATGGATGATAGATCCACGAGGAGGAGGGATATTCAACGGCTAAGGACTCACCCTGAATGATCTGCTGGGCATGAGCCGCCTCCGCTGGTGTCTTGTACTTGATGAAGAACACCTCTGGCTTGTGGCTGACGGGACGCTGTGTAACCACCTCGGCACTGACATCGAGAGCATTCGATTTCTTGGCCAGCACATAGATGGCTGTCTTCTCCTCGACGGGTGCAATATTGGCAATGATCTTGGCCTTGCTGGTGGTCGATGCGGGTGTATTGATGAACACCACACGATAGTTCTTCTGTGGCCTGCCCACATTCACATAGCGCACAATCTGCTGGTCATCGTGATCCTCGGGAGCGGTGTGCAAATAGAAATGCTTGCTAATCACCGGGGGCTGGAAGTTGGCCAAATGGCTGATATATTTCTCCTGTTCCTTGTAGTTGACTTCCGGGCCCGGATGAATGCCAGCCAAACCAATATTATCGTTCACAATACCGCTGCTGCCAACTCCGACACCGTAGTTGCCATAATCACCGCCACCACCACTGGAATAGGAGCCGCCACCGATGCCGCCACCGATGCCGCCACCGATGCCGCCGCCGGAGTAGGAGCCGCCACCGCCACCGCCATTGGAGTAAGTGACACCACCACCGCCATTCGAATAGGTGGTCTGGCCAGTATATTGGACACCGTTCACGGAGCTAACCTGCGATGATGGAGCAAGGCCCGAGTTGCCCACCAGACCCAATTGACCCACCGATGGCAGATTGTTATAGTAGCCGCTGCCCGATGCCGTTGGCTGATATGAGCTGCTTGTGGTGATCAATGGGGTGGACACCACACCGGTGTTGTGGCCAACATCATAGTGGTAGGCCTGACGACTGAGATCAGGACGCGCCGTTGCGCAGCCGAGCACTGCTGCCAGGCAGGCTAAAACCTGCAACCGGATTTCGGATATCGGATGTTGATTCGATTGTACTCTAATCCTTTGGCTTGATGGAACTTACCACAAACTTATTCATGTTCACAATGGACGCAACTATTCACGGGAAAGCGGAGGGATGAAGCTTAGTGACGGAGATGCTGCACTAGATTGATGCCCTGTTTGAAGACGGCGTTCAGTTTTTATAGCAAGGCGGCCTAAGTTGGATGCCTTTAATTGAAGTTAATTAATTTGCTCGCATTGATTTGCAATAAATTGTTAAAAATCAAATATCAAACTATAACACCAAAAATCCGGCTGGCGACTCAGATTTATGTTTAGTTTTGTTTTTTTTATTATTTATTTCTTTATGCTTTGCAGGCGCTAATTGGTGCTGCAAACAGCACCGCTGACACAATCGATCCAATAGTGCCCAAAATGCCGCCACCATTAGCTGGCTGATGCCACCTGACCATGTCCAAATCCTGATGGAGCCAAAGAAATTCCCAATTGTTGATCAAGACTTAAATTAGTGATTGTTCTTTAAATTATTTTATGACTGTGAATTAACTTAAGTACTGGATGAAAGCCTCAATATAAGAAAGAAAAAACACTTAGCAAAACAATTATTGTTTCTTTGGCATCAAATAATATTAGATTTATGGAATTTTTTAACTGGCTCGACCTAAGAAGGAGGTTGTCGGCAAATCTGACTGAAATCACCAACCAGTCACTCAGTTCGTCAAACTCACTCACTTCTCGTAACTATATCCATATGTGGTTGCTTAAATATACTTTCTTCTATATAGATACAAGCATATATTGTGGTAGAGTATACACAGTTTGGTTTTAGAAGTTGCGTTTCTTGCGTTACTTGGATTTTTGGCTTTGTTTACGACTGCAAGACGCGAGTGGGTAGAGAAGAAGAGTTGGTCTGAAATTTCCAAGACGTTGCAGCCAAACATTTTAGCGCTTTTAATTGTTAAAAATCCCGAGATCCATACACACGTACATGTATGCATAATATATTTATATCGATTATGACTTGTATATGCATATTGTGCGATCATAAGCTTAGATTTTTATATGCTTTTCTTTTTTCGCCAAATTTCATGTCTGTGCCTCAGTGGTATTTGATTAGCACTGCTCGATGTTGAGATATATATTAACAAAGCGATGGGTCATTCCCCCACAGACCGGATTACCGCATGATACTAATTTCAAACTCAACTTCTCAACTTCCTATTCCATCCATTGACATTGCGGATGCGGATGCATTTTGCAGGTGGCTGGCAGGCATTTTCGGCAACAAATCGCTTGCTGAACTGGGAGTACAAAAGCGCACTGAAGCATCTGCATGCCAAATTTGGAATCTTTCCCTATTTTCGCGTGAGCGTTGAGAACAGCTATAATATACCATACGATTACATAATCACCCTGGACGAGGGCGAGCTAGGACTGCCGGACAAGTATTTCTATGGCCCCGATGCCGACGATGAAGTGGTGCGCGGCTATAAGTTGCTCCTGCGTGACTTTGCCATTAACTTGGGTAAGTGATGTCCCCCTCCCTGATCGATCATATATCTGCTTGCTTGTATGCTGGCATGCCAATTTCATATAATGTATTCATATTCACATTGCAGGTATTGTTGCTCGTGAGGCGGATATCTTTGCAGATGACATTTTCCACTACGAGCGCCGCATCGTCAATCACATTGAGTCGGCCAAGGGGAGCGGGGATCGTCAGCAGAACAAGCTGCTCCGGCTTTCCGATCTCAAGAGCATCGCACCATCGGTAAGGCCCCAACCACAAGCACAACGTCAGAAAAACTATATGCTGCAATGTGATTTCCCAATTACTACCATCCAGAACTAGTTCCTAATTAACTCTACTAATTAGGAATTTGAGCATGGCATTCTGGCATGTCTTAAGCCACAGAAAGTTGTTTCAACTTTCCGCGCAACTGGTTTATAATCCACATGTGTCTTTCTATACATAACACTGTGTCTATATGCTAATACCAAAATATACTTGCACTAAATATATCCATATGTATTATATACACATCTCTCATCTTATTATTTGCTTATTTGAAAGATCTTTAAAGGTTCTAGACTTCTTGTGCAATAAAATATATTAAAAAAATACCCGATGAGACAGAGATATGTTTGTGCTTAATTGAGCTTTGCCGGTTAAATTAAATAAATACGAATTTGTTGCAAAATATGCAAATAGAAAATCGTATCATGAAATGAAATGTTTGCTGATACAAATTTCAAAAACTTGGGAAAATATCAAACCAATCTTTTAATGAAATAAACTGTAGCCTGTCGTAAATGAAGTTCACTTCAAATAACCTACATAATCTCAAAGTTGTTTGTTAAACAAACATAAGGCATAATCATCTATATTTTTTAATAATAATTAACGGTGGTATCAATTGCGCTACAAATAACATGACTCATTTTAATTAATCGCAATACATCAAAAATGCTGTTCTAAATTCATACATAATACAAATGAGAATGTAGAAAAATGTAGATTTTTTAATGAGTTAATGCATGTAATTGAATTCTATTTTGTACAGCTGCCCATTCTGGAGTCACTTCAGGCCATTTTTACCAACACAAAGATCAGCGAGGAGACGGAAGTGATGGTGCGTGATGTGGAAGTCTTCCATGCGATATCCAATCTAATTTCCACATCGGACAAGAAGTGAGTCCGTCCAGCTATGAATTGAATAATATTAGCACATTGTATATATATTTATTTTATAACTCGCTCCGATTTTCTCTGCAGACCAATTAACAACTTTATCATTTGGTCGCTAGCGCGTCAAATGCTACCGCATCTTTCCAAGGAGTACCGCACGCTGGCCGAACATTTTGATCATTCGATTTATGGGCGGACCGCCAGCTATCCGCGTTGGCTCCACTGCAGCAAGGTGGTGCGCGACTGGTTGCCATTTGCGGTGGATGCACTGCAGCAGCAGCCCCCCAAGCAGCAGTTTGAGGGAACGTATCGCAGTCAGATCAGCGATGCTGCTGACAGCCTAACCAAAACTGTTGGCAATGAGAAGTTCCTGCAGCTAATGTTTTACAGTTTGCGCAATCAACTGCAGGATTCATTGGCGCAGGCGCATTGGCTAGAGCCAACAGCCCAAAAGTTTCTGCACAAGAAGCTAGCCGAGATGCGTCTCCAGTTTGGCATACCCAGCGAAGTGCTCGATCAACCCAAATACATTAGCGACTACTACAACGATCTGCTGCTGAGCAATCTGAACTTTGTTGAGCATTTGGTTTCCATTTGGACATTTCGCCGATCGCGCATGGAAGATAAGCTGAAGACATTGCCAATGCTGGATGTGTAAGTAGTCTTAGTCCGTTGCCCCTTTTGCTTGAGAGCAGCAGATTATGATTATTGAATTTTGTATATTGTGGCTTGCAGCATTGTGTCCGAGATGTACACCAGAGATCATCCGCAACCCATTGCATACTCCAACAAGCTCAACATGCTGCTCATCTCGCGAGTACTGGTCAAAAACAACTACTACGACTATCGCTATCCTGTGTACGTATTTTCTTTCTTGTTATCTTTCAACATTTGCTTACCACTTACCACTTACCACGTGTTGCAATTGCAGGTCCGTCAATTTTGCTCGTATTGGCACTGACATATTGGAGACGCTGATCGACAATTTTGCCACCTTTCTGCTGCAGTTCAATGCACAGAGCTCGGAGCTTAGCGACGCAGTGCCCGAGATTGAATATGCCCAGCCGGATGTTGGCTGTCTGACAGCCGGCCAACCGCCGCGTCTTGGGCATGAGTTGCGCGCCCTGTCAGTGGATGCGCTCAAGAGCTTTCATGTAACGCTCAGCGCTGCTCGGACCGCAGCACGAGCGTTGAGCAGCTTTGTGACGGCTATCGATGCGGGCAGCGCCATCGAGGGTGCCGGCATCGATCAGGTGGCCACCTATGATGCGCTGGGGCTCACGCGGCGGTTGCGCGTGCCCGGCCTGCGTTCCTTCAATGAGAACGAGCTCTTCACGCTGGCCTACATGCAGCAGCACTGTAGTACACCAATTGCGGACAAGGACTATGCACGCATCAAGCCCCATGTGGAGCGACAGTTGGCCGAGCGGTATCTGTAAGTTTTGTCTCGTCTGTCACTCTCTCTCTCTCTCATACACTTAGCCGTTGCTCATTGCCTCTGTCTCTCTCTCTTTCTGGTGCAGTTTCAACGCTACTTGGCAGCATATACAATTCCTGCCACGCTCCACAAACTGTGCCGCCTCGGAAACCAGCTGCTCCAATTTGCTGTGAGGGGACCAAGTACATGCCGCATAACTCAATGTACTCGGTGTGTAGGATTCCTTACTTCAGCCACATATTTATTGTACTTTTTTTTACATCCAAGCACACAACACACACACCCACACACACCCACACACACACACACCCAGAGACGAAGAGTTATGCCACACAAAAATCGCGCAAAACTTAGTTTGTAATTAAGCGGTAAAGTTAGTCTACATATTTGTAATAAGTAGCATTACTTTCAACAACATTTGTAACACATGAAGCGACAAAAACTACTCTTGACATCACTTACACCCCAACACACACACACACACACACACACACTCACACGCACTTACACTGACAGCCATGCATTGTATACTTTTAGGCCGCATCATTGAAATCGCGACAGTTACGTTGTTGAATATAGAATGTAATCACACTTAAACTGCATATGCCTAATCGACGACATATTCCATAGTTCTGTAGTGCGTAATATAGTCCTACTTAGCCGATAAGCGCATTGACCACTGTATAAATTGAATTTAATTTCTAAACGTTCTTCAAAACAATAAAAAGAACACGAATTTTTCCAATGAAACACGTTACGAGAATTATTGCATACTTTTCAGGTCAGAAGGTCCAAATTGGTCCGACTTACAATTGATAATTGCACTCAGTGCTGTGTGCTTTTAGGAGCTGATAAGATATGCAAAGGTGGGCTTACTGGCAGCCAGATACGTGTCAACATCAACCAGATGACCTGCTCCTGTGTATGCAACAGAAAATACAGATTTTGGAAATTTACAATAATTATGAAACAAAATAAATAAATAAATATGATTTGTATAAAGGCCATTTTACATACGTTGGCAGAGCTGCCATATATTTTAGATTTTTTAACGGGAAGGGAACAAAATTTCGGATTCATTAAATCGGAAACAAGTTCGAGCGGAAGAAGATAAGATAAGTTTAGTTTGTTGGAAGTATTTAAATAAAAATTTCGGATTTGATATACTGGTATCAGAGTATTTTGTAGTTGGGACCGTCCGATTGCAACGTGCTTATTTGTTGTGTATTAAACTAAATCTCTAAATGGATTTCGAAAACTTTGAATGACATCATATTGCCAGAACTGCACACAGTTTGGATTGCCGAGTCCATTTTGGTTATGTCATCCTGTAGACCTTAATCTTTATTTCGCTAAGAGAGTGGAATTATGATTCATGGTAAATGAAGTAGGCTTTGGCGTACTTTGAAGTAACTTTGGTTGGCCATTAAGCTGTTTTATTTATTATTATTACCGTCAAATATTTATATACAATTTAAATGGTGCACGTAAAATTTTACTTTTACTTGTCGGGGTAGAGTATCCGTAATAGGATTAGATTAATTGGACTGGTTGGCCAAATCAGTGGATAAAATGGGTATGCTTTGATGGAGTTCAGCGTTTATGATTTCCATTAACTGTGTGCTAAATGTGTTGCTTATGCTGCGTAAAGGGTTATGCGATTAAAAGTTTGTCGAGGTAGATGGTGAAGAATTAATTATAATTATTACTTGGCAATCATATTCCAGGGTGTCGAACACTTGGGATCACTATACAGGCAACTTTGCTGGCATTGCTCTTGGAATTGCTGTCGCTGCTTAAGCGCATCGCTAAGATCATCATCATCATCCGGAGTTGATGATGATACAACGATATTGGGGCGCGGCGTTACATCATCATCATCGTCGTCGAGATCTTGGTCAAAGCTCCAATCCTCATCAATGCCACTATTATTGACGGTGGCTTGAGTGGAATACAGCAGCTTGACCCGCCTGCGTGCATTCCTTTCGGAAATTGTCTTTTTCAGTTGCTTCAATTGCAGGGACTTCTTCAGCACACGTTTGGTCATCTGCTGCTCCGTCTGTCTCAATTCGGTCAGGCGATGACGGAGACGCCACTCGATGACCAACTGTTTCTGCCTATCCAGTTCGGCCCGCTCTTTCATTGCCTGCAGCTGGCGCATCTGCTGCGACTCCGGTTGAATTTCTGCTGGCTGGTCGTGGTGCTCCAGTTTCGTGTCGGACACTGGCTTCTCATCGTCGAAGTCCTCCACCGGCAGTACGGATTGAAAGATCTTGCCACTGGTATCGAGCTGTGTCTTGGGCGCTTGGAGTTGCTGCTGCTGCTTCTTTTGGCGCTCCCTCGGAACGCGATGCCCAGGCAAGAAATTCTCGCGATACGGCGATTCACCGGGCGTCAAAGCCAACGGCCTGGGGATAGGCGGACAGGCGGACAAAATTAGATTTCGAATTGGCGCCAATAAATCAAAGCCAGTCCATGTTCACAAACAAATTCAGCGCTTGCCATTTGGATGATTAGCACAACGCACAACGCACAACGCATAAAGCCGGCAAATTGCATCAGCCTGATACGCTGCCATTCACAGTCACAGTCACGTCATAGTATAGTATCGCATGGACTATCCCAACAGTCCCAACAGCTCCAAACGCGCTTTATTAAGTTTCATATGGGCTGCCGACACGCAATTCCCCCCGCAGTAACCCCCCATTCCCCTGCCCCAAGAACTGCAAGTGTCCCACACGAGTCTCAAGGCCAATGTCAAAAAAAAACAGAAGAAAAATAGCTAAGCGTTTTGCATATACCCTTTCCTCGTGCCGAGTCTCTAGGTTAGAGCAAATAGATGAATCAAATAGAGTCCAACTTCTTAGATTGTTATTTAAAGAATAATTCAATCCCTAATAAGTGATTATTCTGAATATTATAATCTTTATATATATCATTTTTCTAGCAAATTTCTTGAGTTGATTTGCTATTTCAGTTTTGATATCAGTTGTTGTGTGAGCTTGTGGGAGGTGGGCAAGTGAAGCGACTCCAAGTGGGTTATAGTGTATGTGGACGGGTTTACTGGGGACTTACGGGCTGTGGCTATGCTAATGGCAATCGAATCCCAGTGCCCCCTAATCCCCGGTCTCTCACTGTTTCTCCCTGCCCTGCTGCAGATGGACAGAGACAGTGCACGGAAAATAACATGACACAATCAAATTGGGGAAAATGGAGGAGAAGCCGCTCCACAAACAAACAAACAAACAAACGCAAACCGCCAAAGAAGAGTTCATTAATAAACACTGCGGCGAGTCGAGCGATGAGGCAACCTCTGGAACGGTCGTTAGTAGGGGCCCCGTTGATTGAGGGGCGCCAATTTATTGATCAAACAAATGAAGCGCAGCAGCAGCAGCAGCAACAGCAGCAGCAGAGCCAAAGTATTAATAGTCATCGGGTCCGGCACGTTAGTGAGCCCCCAACACAGACTCAGGCCCGAGTTACGAGTCAGGGTCGGGGCCGGTTTTTGTTATCGATAGATTCTAAAGGGCAAAACCAAAGCGGTCGCATCACTCAAAGTAAAAACGACATCATCAATAAAGAAAAAAATGAAATTACAAAAACGTCCACAAACGTCCAAATTTGAACTACGTTGAAAATCATATTCACAGGTTATAATTATAGAGAACTTTGTACTCAAATCGAGCAGATATATTGCGCAAATCAGATCAAGATCGAAAATCCTACTCCAGAGTACGAAATTCTAATTTCCAGAACGCTTTTTATTCTATGCAATGCGATACCTGCTTAATTTTAGACAGGTTTGGGATGAGTTAGGTACAGGTTATTTCATATTATATATTTAATTAAGTAATAAGAACTTTAGCTATTATTTTAAGTGATCAACTTTTTATCTGAATGCTAATACTACCTTCAAATAAAATCAAATCAGTTTAAGTCGAAAATAAAAGTTCTTTAGTGACATTCTAACTATGACATTATAAACAAATTCTAGTTACAAAATGCTGGCGTAGATTGTGCTTTATTCAAAATAGTTTAAAGGAGAGATTTCTACTTAGATTCAAATTTGAATTTAAAGCAGCGATTTTCGCCGAGTGCACAAGCAACAGCAATAACAACAACGAATGACTAAATGTTATATGCCCTGGCATATTTTTATTTATTTTTATTTTTTGCGAGTGTTTTTTTTTTTTTTTGTTTTTGCAAATTTTATCTCAAAAAAGTGCAAAAAAAAAATAGGAGGAAAAACAGCGTGAATTACAATTGCAAACAGTTGTCGATTAGAGGTCGTCGTATTTGATTACGACAAATTCTCATATCAGGCGAGCGCAACTACAAAACAGTTGCTAAATACCCACCTAGAGCTAACCTCAGGTGGAGAAGGGGCTGCGGCATGAGGTGAGCTGCTACGGCTGCAGTGGCACCAGCAATACGCTTAAATCGTAATGAATTCAGCATCTTGGACACCAATCACAGACTACGAGTACTATAAGGGAATAAGAATCTTAGAAACTGCGAAGTTGAAGAATCTAATGCAAAGATGTCTTTAAAGAAACAACTAGTTTTCTTATACCAACTTCGACATTGTAAGGCACGATTTTAATATTTATTTTCTGTTGATCTTTGGCTGGAAAAAGCCACAGTAAGTTTTCTACAAGTTGCACTACTGGAAGACCACATCAGAAGGACTTAAGAAATGAAAAAATGATTTCAACTGCAACATTTTAAGTTTTCTTTCCAACCTAAACTGAATTTTTTATAATATCATTCACGAATAATGTGCAACAATCAGATTGAACAAGCGGCGTATTTCAGACGCGATCGCAAATGCACAGGTAAAATTTATTACCTACAGTTATTTGACGTTGGTTGAATCAGCACAAAATTTGAGTGTATATGTGCTACTTAAACACTTGCTGACCCCATAAAATGTTTATATTCAATACACATATGTATACATATGTATGTATGTGTGCATGTATGTACATGTAGACATATGTACATTTCATTATCAATATGATAAGTGAATAGAGCCATTGCTGTCGGTTACCTGTCTCTGCTGCCTGCCTCTCGGCTTACTCTCAGCTCTAAGGCAATGTGGTTGGTTGGATCCATAGATCCATACAAACAAACATACATAAGTATGTATATAAATCTGAAATGCGATCGGTTAAGGTTGAAGACTGAGATTTATAATAATAGTAATAGTTAGAGAGTGGGCGCGCACTTGATAAGGGCCAAGTTAAAGGCGACTGTCAGACAAGATAAGGTCAAAGTCTTGGACTGTCAATTGATAAGTCAGGTGACCAACTAACCAAAATTCGCCCAAGAGCTGCACAACAAATAGAGCCTTGCTCTCAACTATGTGTGTGTGTGTGTATTTGTTCGTTTTTTGTATGTAGGTAGCACTTAGTGGTAAATACTTCTAATCGCAAACTGAGGGCGACAAACAAAAACGAACACGATAACAACAACAGCAACAACAGCGAAAGTCTTAGGCTGCCAACAGCAGCAGCGGCAGCGGCAGCAGCAGCAGCAACAACAAAATCTGTTGATATTTTCGGTTTATTGTTTTTCTTTTTGCAAACGCAAGCGAACTTGGGAGTCGCCGTTGGGTGAGTAACTCCAAAGCAGAGCGCGATGGCGTCAGCAGCGCATTGACAGCTGACTGTTCCATGACCATTGTGTAGGAGAGACAGAGAGAGAGAGAGCGAAAGAGAACAGTAAGGCAGCGCAATGGAGTGGTGAACAGCGCGAGCCGAGGTGTGGTGTGATGTGAGGTGAGGTGAGGTGAGAGCTACCGTCAAACAATAACAATGGCCACAGCCGAAAAGGCTGCACAAAGAGCGCGCGAGAGCAGCTGACGCTCTCTGAGAGAGAGCGGCAACGGTGACGATGACATCATTTACAGTTGCTGCTGCTGCTGTTGCTGCTGCTGCTGCTGTTGCCGCTGAGGCTGCCAACAGCAACAGCAACATTTTGGGTGGGAAGTGGAATAAATACTTACAGCATTTGGAGTGTGGGATGTACTGCATCTTTTGATGGATCACCGTCATCAGCATCGTTAACATCATCATCATCACCATCATCATCATGATGATAATGATCATGATTAGTATTATGTTCGCTGTGCAATATGTTGACAACCTGCTGCTTCTCCTGTTTATCGCTCTGCGAAATTGTTTCGAGCAGCAATTGAGGATTATGTGTCAGCGGCACACTCAACATCGTCGTCGTCGTCGTAGTTTCGTTGCGGCGAGCGCTGTTCAGCGGCGACACTGTCGGCACTGGCGGCGGATGCTCCATTTGTTGTCGCACCCGCTTTGCCGGCGCCGGCGGCTTGCATCGTTGTCGTTTCGATGCTGGCTCGGTCACCGGCACCGCCATCTGTCTCGGCTTCACTGCATCATTCTCAATGCGCGTGAGCAACAGCTCCAGCTGCTTGTGCGCCGCTTCCATTGGCTTCATTGACTTGAGCTGTTGTGGCGATTTGAATTTGTTGCATTTGGTCGGCTGCGTCGGAATTGCTGACAGCGTTGACATGAATGACATGACCGAGTAGCTGCATCCAAATGCCACACTCGATGTACGCAAGACTGGACGCTGCACCGGCTCCCGAACGGCTCCCAAGCAGCGATTGCGCTTCTTGGCATTGTTATTATTGCTCTTGTTGCCTTTGCCATTCGGCAGCGCCTTGGCGCTTAAATGGAGTTGGGATTTGGGCAGCGTTGCCGCCTTACCAGTTGCCTGAGTGTTGCCAACCCATTCACGCTCTCGCTGCAGCTCCAGCTGGCGCTGTTGCTCCCGTTGCTGGGCAGTTGTTGTATTGTTGCGGCGCCTGCGCGCGTTTCCCTCCGCCAGCGTCTTGTTGTCCATTTGTTGCTGCTGCTGCTGCTGCTGCTGCTGCTGCTATTGGCGTCGACGTCAACGCTGTTGTTGCTGGCTTCACTGCTCGCTGCCTCGCTGCGTTTCGGTTTCAGTTTCAGTTATATGCTCGACGCTCGCCGGTTCGGTTCGGTTTTCGGTTCGCGGTACTCTGTCTGTCTCTTCACTTCACTTCACTTCAAAAAAAAAACAGAAAACACAAAAAATTAAAAATTCTAAACATAAATTTGAACGCAACAAAAAAAAAAAAAAAAAAAAACAGAAACAATGTAATTGTAACAATTTGTTTAATATTTATTGTTGTTTCTATCGGCACTCATTTTGAAATACTGATTTTCTCCCTTCTCCTATCTGTCTGTCTGTGTTTTACTTTTTCTTCGACTTTGACTTTTAAATTGCCGCCTCATTTGTTTCGGTTGTTGCTGTTGTAAGCTCAAAATTCAAAGAGTTTTCTGCCAACTCGCTGACAACCGATTACGCAGATGAACATAAACATCAATGGTCAGTGGTCTGTGGTCAGTGGTCTGTGGTCAGTGGTCTGTGGTCTGTCTGATGAGTATTGCGAGGAGTGCCTCTAAAGTTGCAAAATTTCGGTTAGTCATCGACTTCTTCGAGCAGCTGAATTATTCTTGTGAGCTGATAATTCTGTTCAGGATAAATACATCAAAACATGCCTAGCAAACTAATTCAAAATATATTATCGAGTTGGTGTTTTTCATAGTCATTCGTTCGACAGCCGCTGATGCAGACGCATCAGTATCGTTATAATAAATACATATATTAATAGCCGAAAATATTATTTTTTATTTTGTTTTGTTTTGTTGTGTTCTTTTTTTTTCTTGGCCAAGTTTCTAAGTTGCTGGTGACGCAAAGCAGCACCGAATCCAAAATCAAAACCTCAATAAAAACCAAAGTAACGAAGAATCAACAAGACACAAAATGGTAAGTGATTATGCAAATCAGTCTAAACAATAAATTACAAATCGATCAAAACAAATCAAATGGGAGGAATCCCACTACACAAATGTCGCACAACCGATAACGATCTCGATGCCCCCGTAGTCTCTATTCAAGCTGGTTCGCCCAGCTGCCGGGGCATGTGGGCGGTTGCCGTCCCAAACAGCAAACAGGTTGCCATTGCGTATACGCCGCATTGGCAACGTCCCAAAGCGTTTTTTTTGTTGTTGTTGTGGTGTTGTGGTGTTTGAAGTGTCTACTCCAAAGTTTGTGTTTAACAAGATTCATAGCGCTTGGATTTTTGGTCTCTTAAATAGTAAAGAAAATCGAAGAAAAAATAATAAACTGCCAGTTATTTATTTTCGTTATTTGTATTTGTTTGTTTGTTTTTTGTTGCTACTTTTTATGAGCTGCCTACCAAACTAACCAAGCACACAAAGCGCGTCTCCATATGGGCTGGCACGCCTTATTAGTATTTATGTTAATTATCATACTAAAAATAACAATAACTAAAAGATACACACATCGAAAAACAATTCGAACAAATATTTCTAAAGTTAACAACGGGCCTGAGCCTACTCCTCCAGTTCACGGCTCGTTTCGTGGGCGAACACGAAACTTTCCCAAAAATGTAGAAAAAATCATTTATATATTGTATGTACAAACATATGTATATAAAACGAAACACTTTTGACTCTTGACAAATGTTTCGCAAGCGTTTCGCCGGCACTTGATGCCCCGTTCATGAGAAACCAAGCCGTTGATCTATGCATTCGGAGTCGAGTTGAGAGCAACGCCCACGGATCGGCTTGGGAAAGCAAAAATGTCGCCGCTGGTCGGGCCAGTTAGAGTCGGATTCAGACTCAGACTCAGACAGAGAGTCGGACTGAGAGTAAGAGTAAAAGTCAAAGATCCAGATCTAACGATGATCGCACCAGAACTCGAAGCCAAGCTCTGATCTGACATCATTCAGAGAGAAGAGCATTCCAAGTCTAAATTTGGCAGCGAATTGATGCGAATAATTTATTTAATTATCACTTTTACTTAACATATTATATATTAGTATTGTATATGTGCTATCTATATATGCGCAGTTATTCAAGTCTTTTACCTGAAATAAAACACTTGATCTGCAGCTAGCGAAACATATTTAAATAAATACAAAAATCAGGTCACCAACAAATTTCAACAACCATTCAATTTATTGATATCAAAAATCGCTTGTTGAATTAGTTGTTCTACCTTTATTTGATTCAAAATAACTCTTTGGTCACAATACACATCACATATCTTAACCAAATCATTATTCTGACCGGGAAAAAATAATTGACAGAAGCAAATAATTTGATAAGCAAAATTTTGATTCCAAATATATATATATGTATGTATGTATGTATCTGGCAAGTGAAAGCATCCCATGATCAGCATCAGCATCAATCGGGAACACTCAGAGATCTCCATTCAAAATGATTCGTTTTAATTTAAGCACATGTACTATATAATTTATATTTCAATTTGCTTTGCTGTCCTCAATTTTCAACTGAGCAAAGTGTAATGAAGACATACTAGGCACAATGTGAGATCTGTTCAGATAAGAAAAAATTAAATGTAAAATTTGCCAAATCGCCACGAAATGTATTTTTCATTCGTTAGTTTTATTTCTTTTTTTGTTTTATTACATCTGCTCCAGAAAATATGTTCACACTTGTGCAAATGAAGCTATTCATAGATTTGCTAGTTGCTATCAGATTTGCTTCCAAAATAAAAAAGAAAAAAAGAAAAGAAAAGAAAAGCAAAAATCATCTTTACATATAATCATATTTTTATATGTCAGGGTCAATGGCCATCGTTAAGTGATCTCTTAAGAACTACAGCAGTGAGGCTGACCGCCCCCACCACCACCCACAGCACCACCCACAACGCCACTGCACAGTTCAAAAGGCAATTACTTATACGTAATGCTGGCCAAAAGCAGCAATTTGTTTGGCTAAACATAGCGCCTCGTTGATTGATAGCTTTGATTGATGGCCTTTGCCCAATGGCAGCAGCAACAACAATAGTCCAACAGACCTGACACACACACACACTTACACATACAAAGAGAGGAACCGGGAGAGAGAGAGAGAGAGAGAGAGAGAGAGAGAGAGAGATGTATGATGATTCATGCGTGCAATATTTTAATTATCGCATTTGAATAAGCAAACTACAAAATTAAAATTAAAAAAATAAATAAAAAAAAAACAACTAAATGCCTTATTGCGGTTTCTACGATTTTCATTATTGTTGTTATTGTTGTTGTTGTTGTTGTTGTTCACGTTTCAAGGGAAAACTGTGCCGGCTAAATTGCTTTCGCGCAATGTTGTTGCTATTCCCACTCATGCTGCCCTTTGATTGTACCAATTAACTGATAACAATAATAATATCCGAAAGCAAAGCAGGCCAGGCTGAATTATAGAAAGCAAAATGCATTATTGAACGAAAGAAAGAAAACTTGATTGCAGAATTATTGATTCTAGCATACAAATAAGAAGTCTGTTAACGAACTTGAATTTCAAATTCATTGTGAATTAGAATAAACAAACTCAAGCTACTTTCGATACGTGTTATACTTGAATCGAGAATATTTTCTTTGGTTTATTGTAAATAAACTGAATCTACGAATTCACTCTCCAAGCGTTTTGTATACGAATCGAGAATATATTCCCGGTATTTTGTTCATTTTTCTCTGTGCATGAATACAAATTGTATTCAACACACAATTGCTAGCATAATTGTCCCTATTGTAATTATAATATATATATATATATATATAGTAGTAGTACTTGTATAATTAGCTACAGCATTATAAACATTGCGTTATTACCCTTACAGCTACATTATTATTCGAATATTCTATATTCCTGGCTATCTACATATATAAGTAATTCAGCTCGAATAATTTCTATTATCTATCTACATCTTATTGATTGATTTACCAAATTAATATACTTTTAATGATACATTTATTGATTTAGCCACTTAAAAAAAAGAATCGAATTATTAGATAAGTGAGTATTTCTATACCTATTCTGCTGCTCAATAAGATATTGGTTAGGATCAGACTATCATATCTAACCTGATGACATACTAAGCAATATTGATCTAACATTTAGTAGATAAGAGAGAATTTATATGGAGAGGGTATTTGCTAGTCGTTAGACTGAAGTTGACGGTTTATGCTACTTTTTGATATTCAATTTTATTTTGTTGTTTAGTGTTTGGTTTGTTTTTGTTTGCTGGCCATTAAGCTTCAAATATTTCAATGAATTCTGCGCTGCTTTAGTTGTTTGTTGTTTGTGGCTCTTGTTATTGTTATTGTTGTTGTTATTGTTGTTGTTGTTGTTGCTCCTGCTTTTATTATTACCGTTTTATGTTATAATAGGGCACTTCGAGCAAACTTTCTTTAAGTGTGTGTGTGTGTGTGTGTGTGTGTGTGTGAGTACCTCTTCCTCTCTCTCCCTCTCTCTCTCTCTCTCTCTGTGCCTTTCTCTCTTTGGATTTGCGCTCATTTGTTTAATTCGATTCTAACTCCAGCGATGATCTAAGTGAGACGTCGTCGTCTTTACTCTCGCTGTTGCTGTTGCTGCGGCTGCTGTTGCTGTTGCTGTTGCTGTTGTTATTGTTGTTGGTTGTTGTTGCTACATCTGGCGTAAACTTTAAATAAGCAAGTAAAGCAACAAGCGCAACAACAACAACAACAACAATAACAACAGCGGCAACAGCAACAGCAAAATGACCCGCAATTGCTAGCCGAAAAATTAATGTGCGTTTAATTTGAGCAAATTAAATTTGGAGAACGCTATATATACATATATATCTATATACATATATATACATATATATATATATGTGTGTGTGTGTGTGTGTAAACACTAAACACAAACATATGTATGTGTACATACAGCAGCAATAGCAGTGGCCTCAACGCCACTGTGAAAAGTGCAGCGTGTAAATTGGTCAAATTTACGACCTGCTGCCATTTTTCATTTTTATGAGCAACGATTTTCATTAAATGCGCCCGTTTTGCCACTTACCATTTATAATTTACCGTTTGCCTTGCGGCTTTCGTTGCGGTGACGCGTTCTTTTGTTTGCGCCAAGTCGTTATCAGCGTGACAATCAGTTAACGCCTGCAGCGACACCTCTCTCAGTTTTGGTTGGGAACGGAGCTTTCCACATTGCCACATTGCCACATTGCCATTGCCACATGCCCATCCACGTCGCATCGTGGGTGGCCTGAATAGTTGACCGGGTGACGATTATGGTTTGGCATGGACACCTGACAAAATGTGGAAGAAGTACGTGTCGCGCCTAGCGTCCAATTGTAATTTATAATGTATTTGATTTGACAAGCTATTTATCTTAATGCCAAATCCAACAATTATGTAATAATTCATGCAAAACATGTGCCATGTTCACTTTGCAGCAAAGTGTACTACAAATATCGTTAGACAGACACTTAGACAATATATTATAATAAATTAGAGCTAAGTAGTCTTTGCTATTAGATCTTCAAGCAATAATAATAAGGTAAAAAATTCATATTTAATTTAAAGTATTTTTCATTTACACTTAAATTCTTCTTCATTTTATTATCTATTTATACAACTCCAATTTGCATTCGCTCCACTTTTTGAACCTGACTTCTCGAAAATCATTATTTTAATCAATTTAATTGCTAAAAACTGAAATTTATAATATACATATATGTTTGTGTGTATTAAATTAAATTTTTAAATTACTGAATTGAAGGCAGTCTTGAAGGCATTAGGATCGTCAACAGTTATTTTTGTTACCCATATTTCTTAGTTGAATTTTCCACCAAAACTCCACTGAAATATGCATAGCATACTTTTTGGAGCAGTGTAGAATTTCGAAAGAAAATAGAGCAGATCGCCCAGTGCCCTATATTAATTTGAAGAAAATCATATATTATTCATTTAATGAAAATCATGCGATGTATATTTCTTGAATTGTATTTGATGACATAACTGCTTGAGTCAATCACTTGAACAACCGCATTACTGTGTACTATGTAATGAAAATGAATCGGCAATTTAGTTATTTGTTGCGATAAGTGCATAATATATTATTGTTCTTCTTTGTTCTGTGGTCAGAAATTTTTGCATCAAATTACGCAAATTTGTTGTTATTATTTTGTTGTTGCTTTTGTTGTTGCTGCAGTGGTTTATGAACTCAAGGCACAACATCTCTGCCCCTTTTGGACATTACGAATATGTATTCGTCCATTCCAAGCATTTAGCTGTGAAATTATATTATGAAATATTTGAATGCTTTGACGACGTGATTCGCATATTAAATAATAAATTGTAATTCTATTCTTATCTCCATTCATATTCATTCAGTCGGAGACGCCATCAGTCTGTCACAAGTGCAATGAGGTCATAGAAAATCGCATCATTACGGCCCTGGGCAAGAACTGGCATCCGGAGCACTTCGCATGCAAGGACTGCCAGCGCCCCATCAAGGAGGCCACCTTCAACATACAGAGCGGGGAGCCGGTCTGCTCCGAGTGCTTTGTCAGCAACTATTCGGGCACCTGCTTTGGCTGCAAGCTGCCCATCTTGGAGGTAAGTACACAGAGCGAAAATCAAGCGTTTTCAACTCAAAATTAATTTAAATCAAAATGTTCGAGCCAACGATACGTATACGTAATAAATGTTGCGCGATTGTTTCTAGTAATTAGATTAGAATTTGTTGTGCTTGGTGCTAGAATCGTTTCTTACAATAATATAATTTTCTATTTTATTGATTTTATTATTATTGTTAATAGTATTATTTAATAAGTCTTAAACTTATACATTGTTTAGCTATTCCCTTGAATGACGAACCCTTGATTCGAGGTATTTCCAACTTAAATTGAGTCCGTATTTGTTCCCGCTTCTATTTTTGATGTGCCCGCAGCGCATCGCATCGCATCGCTTAATTTGTCACTAGCAGTCCCAATGGCAGTCGCAGTGCCAGAATATCATCGACATAAGATCAACATTGATGACATCGTCATCGAGGCGTAGTCTGTTTGCCATAAACTTTGGCGCTTTACGAGCGTCGGCGAGCGGCGATTGTAATTAATATTGTCAACATTTGTTTTTATAATCTATGGCGCTTGTAATGCATAGGGAACTGATTATATTTGACTCGTACATACCATATAATAGATGCACGTTGTATAAATACTATAGTATCGTCGGTGTCAGCAAATGTGAAGTGCATATATAGTATGATATCTATTTATACGAGTGGAACAGCTAGCTTATCCAGCTCTTGAGGTAGTGCACAGTAAATGTTATTAATTAATGGATGAGTCAAATAAATGTCGGAACGTTTTAGTTTATTCTTTATATAATATATCCACAAAGTGGGTGGAAAATCTTGATTGCTGACAGATGATGAAATCTTGAATATATGTATATATACTATGCATACATAAATACAAAAATTTAAAACATATCAAAAGTCAATTCGCAGAAGCAGTTACATCCAGCAGATAGTGAACTGGAGTATTACATCAGACGTCTAAATTTCAGACATCGAAATGTCACTGGTAATTTCCGATAAAATCTGACTGATATTCTCTATGGGAGCTATATGATAGACAGAGACAGGGACGGACATGGCTATGTCGACTCGTCCAGTGTGCTGATCATCAATATATATATATATATATATGTATATACCTGGAGAGGTCATAGATCGGTCTCATCCAATCTGTTATCGCAGGTATTTTTTCGTTATGAGAAATTTTCCAGTGCTGCCATTTAATCGAATGCATTTCGAGAATGTAAAACGCAGTTAAAGTTGATAGTTATCCATGGCTGGAGACGTTTTTTGAGTGCAACCGCGCGTTTAATTTGACAGTGACTCAAATGGTAAGAGCTTATTGGAAAGAATATGTTAAATTCGACACTTCGTGCTGAAAATGATCGCTCTGCCCACGAAGCATCGTTTGTGTTTAGATATGAGACAAGGTCATCAAACTGGGACTGGGTGTGTGCGATTGATTGGCTTCGATTGAGATTATGATTATGCACATTAGTCATACGAATATATGCATTTGATGTGATTGTTTTTATTATTATTTAATTTGCACAAATCATAAGTTTATTACGATAAAATAGAATGATAAGTTAAGAGCTCAGCTTGCTGATAATAGTTAGTTCAATATGATAATGCGTCTTAGTTAGCTGTAATGACCATCAAATACTAGCTTTTATTGTTATCCGAAATCGATTTATATCGAAAGTTATCGGTAAAATTGTTGAAGTTTGTAGCTGTCACTCACTCACTTTTACCCACATTTGCAGCGCACCATCAAGGCCATGGACCAGTCGTGGCATGAGGAATGCTTCGTTTGTGCCGGTCCATGCAAGAAGCCATTGGTGGGCACCTCCTTCTACGAGCGCGACGGTAAACCCTATTGTCGCATCGACTTCGAACAAATGTTTGCGGCCCGCTGCTTTGGCTGCACCAAGGTCATCACGGAGAATGCAATTGTTGCGCTCAATGGCAAGTGGCATCGGGAATGCTTCAAGTGCAAGGTGAGTGATGATGCACACACACACATATATATATATACATATATATATATATATCTACACATTATTTACTTTCCTATTTTCGATTGCAGAAGTGCCAGACGCCCATAACGGAGAGCACGTTCGCCGTCGAGGATCAGAAGCCACTGTGCGCTGCCTGTTCCGGTTAGGCGGCTATATCCTTACTCGGCATACCCTTATTCCCTTCCCTTACACCAACCCTTTGCACAAGCACACACATACACACACACACACAGACACACACACACACACACACAGATAGACACATACAAGCACACATCGATGTATATTAAAGATGTTTATGGTATTTGTAGTATTCGCAATTGTTGAACAAACTTAAAGCATATAACAAACTTTTAGAGTTTACACACATGAAATTCGATTGTCAACTCAACGTTCAAGTTCAAGCTAACCAACGGGCAAAGAGTCCCACTACACTCTGTCTCTCTCCATCTCTCTCTCACTCGTTCTCTCTCTCTCTCTGTCTCTCTCTGACCCCTGTTTACATGCTCCAGCAAACCTCCTTCGTCTGCTCCTCCACAATTTGCTGAATTCGAATGCAAAATGAAAATATTTATTTATAAGATGCATTTTACATGAAAAATGCATTTGAAAAAACACCTGCCAGAAGGAGGAGTGCGACCAAATATGTGGGTGTAGTTGATGTATAGTTGGGTGTGGGTGTAGTGAGTGTCGCTTTGTCCGCGTGATTAACCGTATATAAGATTAAACTATATAATTGTTTTAAGTATTTAAACTACACAAGAAAAAAAAAACACTCGCCTGTCTCACACTCTCGCTCTCCCTCCACCTCTCTCTCTCTCTCTCTCTCTCTCTACAGCTCTGTCTCTCTCAGCCTTACAATGTATACCAACCATGTTATCTCTTTCTAAATTGTATTGTGATTCTCAAGCTCTACAATATATTTTATGTCAAATATATATGAAAATTAATCTTGAAGTCCAGCATTTTACTCAATAAATAAATAATAAAAAAATTAAATCACAAAGTCTTTTTTAAGCACATTTATCTAGAATGCAGTTTCTCTCCTAATTATCCTCATAGATCGAAATTACAAATGTGATCAAGATATATATCTGTCGATTAAGGGCATGTTTATCTAATTTTAAGAATTAATTGATGAAATTTAGAAATTATTTCTACACGGGAAATTCACATTTTTTTTTCGCTGATGAAGGAGAATATATATATATATGTGTTCATATGTTCTGGGGTATCTTCTTATATTCTGTCATGCTTTGCGCGATCGCTGTATGCAAATAAACTGAATATTTGAACAGGTAGCTAAACGAATTAATTATAATTAATTATCAATTCAAGAACACAGTTGTACTGCGATCCAAATCATACATTTTATTGATCCTCCAAAATGAATCAAACACACACCATACATTCATATTCATACATATATACGTGATGTGCATGTGGATTATTTTAGTTAGTTGATTTTACATAATAATTTGGTTTGTCGAAAATGTTGTTGTCCGATTTTGTTTTCGTTTTTGCTTGTTGCTTGTTGCTTGTTGCTAATATTGGTTGCGCTGCATCTGAAAGCAAAATGAAGATGTAAAAATGAAATCACAAATGCCGTTGGCCATATAAATTACCTTTTTATCCAGCATGGCACCCAAGGAGCGGACAAGGGGATCGAGAACCTCGCGCACCTGTGACTTGGTCACATGCTCCATGGCCTCGAGGAGCTGTTTATGCAGCTCACGTTTCCCGTGTCCCGACTGCTTCAGCAATTCCATTATGTTTGTCAGCTGATGCTGCTGAGCATTCTCGCTGGGCTCCGGTTCCGGTTCCGGCTCCGGCTCCTCGCTGCAATAATCGCCGCACTGAACGCACTCGATGTGCGTGTTCACCTTGTCGATGTTGCGCTGCTCCAGCTGCATTTCAGACTGTGATATTTCGATTGGCCCCGGCTGGGATTGGTCGCAGTTCGGCACCGCAAGCACTTTCGACTTGCGGACTTGCAACGATGCACGACGACGACGCTTCTCTGTCGTCCGCTCCTTGGGCACCAGGCGCGGCTCGTACAGCTTCAGATCGTTGAGGCACATCTTGAGATCGTAGCGATGATGCTGGCCAGCAGCATGATTCGGGCCTTGGATGCGCCGCTGCAGGTGCCTGTAGGTCTCGCGGGCCATCAGGAATCGCTCCTCCTGCATGTCCTCGATGAGGGTGAGGAAACTGGTGCAGCGCTGCTGCAGACACTCCACAACCGGATCCTGTCGATCGAGCACACCCTTCTGCAAGCACACAGTCGTCACCGTATACATCATCTCGATGAGGGCGCTCAGCTTCTGCGGCACCTTGTCCAGCAGAAAGTACCGAATATGCCGCTGGTATTTGCCAATCGAGTGCAGCATCAGCGCGTAGACGCAGACCACCCGCTGGCTGGCATCGTTGCAGGTGGCACTGTTGAAGCTAGCCACCGGTGTGCTGCGCACATCCTCGATCATGCCACGCAACGGATACAAAAAGTTGCGAGTGAAGCGAACGCAGAAATTGAATGCGTTCCGTTCGCGTCGCTGCTTCTCCTGGCCACTGTGGTGGCTGCGATGCGTTGGCAACGACGATGGCAACTGGATGAGGCTGCCCTGCAGCCGATCCAGTGCCGTAATTAGGCGCTCCTGGGTCATTGAGATCTTACTGTAAATGGCAATCTTCTGATACTTGAGATTCTCCAGCGAACGCGTGCAGATCACGTTGTGTGTCTTGCGACGCCTCGGCAACGGAATCATTGCCAGCGTCGTCGAGATCTCTCCCAGCGGCCGAACCTTGTCGCGTCCACCAGTTTGGCATTGCTTTGCTAGCGCCGGCTTTGCTCTCCTTCCACTCCTGCCGACGGCCGACGACTGTTGCCGGGCAACAACTGCCTTGGAAGTTCGCATCTCCTGCTCCTGTTCCGGGGATTCGCGGAGCGTACAGTTGTCTGTTTCCGATCGTTGCGATGTATAATTCATTGGTCGTAGACTACGCATTAAGCTGAACCACTGCGGATGCTGATGCGGATGCAGTTGGATAGAGCAGGAATTGTCAACAGTGCCGCCAGCACTTGGCTCACTGGGATTATGGAGCATTGATTCAGTGTAGCGCATGTAGCCAGGATGAATGGCATATTCCTGCTGCTGCTGCTGCTGATCGTTGGCAATGGTCGCCGGTTCACCAGAACAGCCTGGCTGTTCCGAGATCATCAACAACATCGGGGGCATCTGGTGCATCATGGACGAGGGTACGATGTCCACCCACTGCGCCTGTGGCTTTCGATAATCCTCATGGGATACGGCAAGCGCTTGTTTTATGCGCTGCATCACCAAATCGGGACTCGATTGATTGGTGGTGCTTCTTGACGGCTGCTTCTTCTGTTTATCCGGACTGGGAATGGACTGGTGTTTCTGGTTGCCAGTTTGCTGCTTCGATTTGCGCTTGATTTTCGCGGGATCCTGTGGCTGGGATTGTTGCATTTGTTTCAGCTCAGCGCACACCTCGCGATGCAGTCCCTCAATGCACGCCTCATAGGTAACCGTATCCGTTTGTTTGGGTTTGATTGGACTACGCTTCGGCCTTTGACCTTTGACCTTCTTCTTGGCTATCTGCTGCGTATTTGCTCCGCCGGCCAAGCGTTTCTGGTGGTGCTGCTGCTGGTCATAATAGCTCTGCTCGATCTGGCTGTCACTGTTGTCATCCGAGAGCTGCTTGGACATTTGGGTCTCGACATCCTGGTCACGTGACCGGACCATGCCGAGCACATCGGAGCCAGTGTTGCGAATCTTATGGAATCGGGGCTTGCACGGCCTATGCGCATCTCGTTGCTTCCTGATCTCATCCCGCTCCGCGGCCCGTTCCATATTATAACGCCTGACGGCGTGTTTGATTGAGTCCGGGTTCATAAACTGCCGTAAATGATGATAAGGACGGTTCACTCACGTTTAAGTCCATTATTAAACACTTACCTGAAACTCATGGACATACGATTGCCCGTAGAGATTGTGATGTTTCAGCATCTTAATGGTTGTCAAATATGGAAACTGAAGGATTCTTTGAATCGACCTCGAAGTCTGTGTAGATTTTGCGATAAGATACAACGTTTGGGATGGGGTGGGGGATGGGTTAATGAGAGACGGAAAAAAGTTAAACCAGATTAAATTTTGTAGTAAGTACGCTTCCAAAAAAATTTCAAATAATGTTTACTTGTTTTGCTTGACTTTTCTTGTCTTTCTCTCTGCCAACTATATACACTACTATGTATGTATATATAAATCTATTCATATTGAAATGTACTTCAAAAATTACACCACAGCAGTCTGTGCTTGATGATAATACAAGCAGACTTCATTAGTTCTTAGAACAATATGTGTCATATTGGCAGTCTAGTTTGAATTAAAGAAAGTGCTTGTAAAATAATTACACTAAACACTTAAAAAACAGTATTGAAAATTACTTTTAGTAAGCGTATACATGAGTAACTTTTAAAATATTTATTTCAATGGATTGGGGGAGAAGGAAAGTTTGTAAAAGTCGCCAAGAATCAGAAACTCCAATATATTTCAAAAACATGAAATGCATATTAAAACATAAATGATCATAATAATTTCAAATATGCAGCTCATTTGTATTTTATTAGGTTGGTAAAGAGATTAGATACTTCTGGAACCACTGTAATGTTCAAAGTGAGCTGGCAAATGAAGTTTTGAATCGTTCCAAAGACCATTTTTCAAGCATATAATTTAAGCATGCATTTCGAGTTCGAATAGCGTTTCCAACTTTGTCATATAGAAGTCAAATCATGATCAAAAAGCCCTGATTTTTGAGAATAGGTTCACTGTATAATTCAGGACCTGCCGTATAGTTATAATAATACAATAATTATAATGATGATCCCGAGAGCAATTATTATAACACGCCGACGTTGTTAGAGCATCGGGCATAGACTGCTGCCGAAATGCTTCGCCAGGCTTATTGAAACTTATTAATTAGCTGAAAGCACTAAGCAGACAATACTAGTATTAAGGCTATCTACAAGTATTCTTATCCTACTTAGGACATATTTACTGCTGCAAATGCGTCTAGCATCATATACTATCAGTTCAGAGAACTCTTATCACGGAATGTTTTGTTACGGTCTCGATGACCGCCGCGTCCGTGTCTGTTCACGTCTTTACATATCTCCTTGTGTACCTTACCATTGTAAGATTAAACGTCTTGGCCCCTGTTAAAAGGCTAGCCTTTTAAGGATGGTTATATATAAATATTTATGTATATATATATTCATATTTTATTTATTTAATAGTTGAAATTAATTATGCTTATGGAAGATTATATATCCTGACCCCCTGATAGCCACAATAGCCTTTCAAAAATCATTTTGTTCTACATAAAGAATATCCAATCTTTAGTTTTTATAGTTATATATATTAATTTGAATAAAATTGGAAGATTTGGGCACACTCACTAGGCCTCGTTAGGCATTTACATGAAAATAAATTAAATGCATTCATTGTTATTATTGTTACTTCTGCTATCCACATTGCTATTGTTATTGTTGTTGATGTTGCTGTGCATTGATAACTGGGGTCGAGCAGCGTCTACCAATTTCTGTTTGGGGTAGGGCTGTATTTATTGCTAGCTACTCTTTATGTTAATAATACTAGCCGCTGCACGAGAGTTATTTGTTTTCATTGCGGTGGTGGGTGCCAAAATTATCGAATATGACGACCAGATGGCAACGCCGCCTAGCTGACAACAGCCCGTTGTTCATCACATTTCGATAACAATATCGATCACAAATTGCGATATCAAACAAAACATGTTGCCCGACCTTGTGTAGTGTTTTTAGTGCTGCACGTGTCTTATTCTAACATTTTTTGAACATAACAAGTGTGCACACAACGTCTGCAAATGGGTAAATTTCGCTCGAAGTTGAAACGCCATGGCAAGGGCAAGAACTGGAGCAAGGGCCAGTCAGCCGTATCGAATCCGGACCAAATGAAACATCGCTTAAAAGCAAAGTCGCGTTTCTTTCAGCCAAATTTGAATCTGGGTAAGTTGATGCACAAAAAAATTATATATATTTATATATATAAATGAGTATTTTATTGCTATTTTTGCAGCTGCATCGGGCTCTGCCAATGGACTCACCATGGAGGCCGTGCACAAACACGAACAGCGTCAGGCGTACAATGCGGAGACGACAACTGTCAACGATGTGGCCGGCAGTTTGATGTCCTTTACGCTGGACGATGATGATGGCATGTCGGGCACTGGCATCGGCAACGGCACACAGCCCGCCGGCACATTCAAGACCTTTCAGACATTTGCCTCGAACTACACCAGCTGCAGCAACATGAGTTTCAAGAAACTGCTCACCGGCTTTCGGGCATCCTCCGATTTGCACAAGGAGATGCTGGCCATTTTGAGCGCATTGACGGAAATAATACGTGAACGTGGCGGCAACGAATCATCCACCGAATACTTTCTGCTCCTCGTCAGTCAAATCGAAGCAGCCACAGAAGAGCGCGACATCATTGCCGGCGTTGCGCTCCTCTCGATGGGCATCAAGTCTGTGCCAGCACCAGTGCTGCGCAAACGATTCGATAAGACAGCGGCCACAATTCAGCAGCTGCTGCAGCGTTTCATTGATTCCAGCAGTCAATCTGTTATACGCTATGTAAGTGAATGGAATGCCATGAATTCGCTGCGTGTTTTATTCCCATTCCCATTCATAATTTAAATTTCGTTTGGTAAATTATTCTAACTTTATTTATGTTGACCACTTTTAGCTGATTGGCTGCTTGTCGGTGCTGTTGCGCGCCCAGGACTATGTGACCTGGTCCTACAGTTCCACATTTCAGTACTTTGATGCGCTGCTCGCTTTCAGCATTCACTCTAGACCCAAAATACGTAGGGCAGCACAACATGCGGTCGTCTCTATCATTCATGGCAGCTGCTTCATGATGCCACCACAACCAGTTGCTAACGACGAGGATGATGATGATGATAATGATAAAGATAGTGATAAGAATAAAGAGCAGCAGACGCAGCAGCATCAACAGCCAAAGAGCCATCCGGCCAGCAGTCGTGTGACGAAATTCTGTTTGGCCCAATTCAAGCCGGAGGTGCTGGCTAATCAACAGACGACCGTATTGCATACGTTGGCCTTGCTCAAGGATACGCTGGCCGGCTTTCGCACTGAGGACATACGCAACGTTTGTGAGCATTTGCTGTCCATAATGACAGCGGCGAATGTGCTTGTCCGGACCAATTGCTTTCAAGCGCTGCATGCTCTCTTTCTCACGCGCAGCTCGAATTTGAATGCAACGTTGTGCGCCAAACTACTGGCAGCCATACACGAGTATCGTCCTGATCGCAGCGATGTCCGTCAAACGCTTGCCTGGATCACGGTGCTCAAGGAGGGCCATCTACATTTGGCCACGCTACAGCTCGATTTGTGTATGCAGGCGCTGCCACGACTCTTTGATGTGTGCACCACCGATCTGTGGATGTCGGAGCGCGGCGAACTTGTTGTCGGTGTGTCCAATTGCATTAAGGAGCTGCTGCAGGATTGTGTGGCGCGTGCCTGTGCCACCGAGCAACTGGCCGATCAGCATCGTCAATCGGTTACACGCATTATTGGCTCACTGCACAAGGTGCTCAATGCACCGTTCGGCGAGATCTCCAAATATGTTATACTCATATTCTCCATTGTCTTCGAGGCATGCGGCAGACACTTTGGGTAAGTCCAACAATATATACAAATATATATATAATTATATTTTTAGTGGCCTACTTGTTACTACAAACATATACAAAATGATTAACATTGACTAATTATATCTTAGAGATGGTTTTACAAACGAAACAGTTTTCTTACGAAATTTATTTTCTACTATTCACACAGAGCGGAGCTGAATCCATCGCTGGCGACAATTGGTAAACGCTATGAGAGCCAGGGCGCGTTACGTCTGCAGATTGAGCACACACTGATTAGTGCCATTAAGGCGCTGGGGCCGGAGCTGGTGCTGAGAGCGATACCTTTGAACGAGTCTGGCGGCGGTGTGTGCTTGGAGCGCTCCTGGCTCTTGCCGCTGATGCGTGAGGGCGCCAATGGGGCGAGCCTGCAGTTTTTCAAGGAGTATGTAGTCCCACTGGTACTGAATAGTTTGGCCAATTGGCGCAAGTATGGCACCGAGGAGAAGGACAGCAACAAGGCACATATCTACGAGCTATTGTGCTGCCAACTGTGGGGTCTGTTTCCGGGCTTCTGTCGCCAGCCCCGCGATCCGGAATATTTGCGCAATTTGGCGCCAACATTGGGCGATGCCCTGCAAAACAATCCCGAGTTTCGTGCACCCATCTACGATGGCCTGCTCGAGCTGCTCGACGAGAGTCAGAGTGATGAATGCCATGCGGCAATTGGCCAATATGCACGTAATTTTCTGCCGCGTCTCTTCAACATCTACATACAGAAACCAACCGGCAGCTATGAGGCCGATCAGCGTAAACGTGCTCTCGACGTCATACGTCTATATATAGCGCGTGCGCCGGCCGATGTTCAGGCGCAGCTCTTCGAGAGCGCCCAGAGTATGTTGGCGGGCAGCGCTTTGGCCAGTTTCGAGTACGATGCCTACTTTGACATCAATGCGGCAATTGTGCGCGTTCAAAAATGTCGCGGCATCGAGGCATATTTCGAGAAATATATGGCGCCTGTGTTACGCAACGATAAGTCCAAGCTGGTCGCCCGCGATGAGCAAAAGATGAAGAAACAACAGCGCAAGACCTACGAGTGAGTACAACAATAAAACAGACTTTCTCTCTCGCTCTACATATATATATAAATGTTTAATTGCACATCTTTCAGGTTGCTGCGAGAGCTGATGACTTCCGATCAGCCCTCATGCCAGAAGTTTACGCGCAAAAATTGCCTGGCATTACAGCAGATACTATTGGAGGCCTTCAACACTACGTGCAGCGTCTGTCAGGCATCACGTCTGCAGTAAGTCGAATCATAAGCGACTCTCAAGTTTCGATAATTAACAAGATTCTTAACATTCGCGTACAGTTGTCTCAAATCGCTGCTGGACTGCCGCAGCAATTTGGCGTACAACGATCAGCTGGTAATGAAGGCCATACCGGAGGCAGTGCTCAATTATAAGGAGTTCTCGACGCGCAAGGAGCAGGTGGCCGAACATCTAATCAAACTGATTGCCAATCTGTATCAGGAGGCGGGCAAAATCAATGAATTTGTTGACATCCTGACCGCCGGCTTCACCGGCGATGAATCGCTGATAACCAACACAATTCTCGCCTTTCGTGCGGTGCTGCAGCAACAGGGCCAATATCTAACAGTGAGCACATTGGAGTTTGTGCTGCAACAGGTATCTGTGTTTCTGGTGCAGAAGTCACGACACCAGGCCGAAGCAGCCGTCGCCTTTCTCATCACATTCATCAAGGTGATGCCCATACCTCTGGTGGCCAATCACCTGGAGACGATTGTAAGTGCCGTAATTTGAGATAGCTACATCTGACTAATCAAGCGATTCTCTTGCAGATGCGTTCGCTATCGGCGATGACAAAGGACACGAAACGCTATTGTCGCATACAAATTGGCTACTTCCTAAAGAAGCTGTGCAAACGCTTCACCACAGAGGAACTGGCACGCTTTGTGCCTGGCGACGATGAGGTCACGCATCGCCGGCTCAAAAAGATACGCAAGCAGATGCGACGCGACACTCGCAAAAAACAAAGCGAGGAGGCACAGGCAGAGAGCTCCGACGAGGAGCTGGTCGGTGATCTCGAGCAGAAGACCTACACGTAAGTGTCAACGTCAACTTTCAATATGAACAGAGCACCCAGAACCAAAGCTTAATTATCGCATCATATTTGCAGCATCGATGACATTTTGGCCGATTCGGATTCCGATTTGCCAGAGGATATGGAGGAAATGGACGAGGATGGCTCGGCGACCAAGAAACGTGCAGCCAAATCAAAATCAAAGTCCAAGCAAGCGCGCAGCACGTACATACGTGAGGATGCCGATGAGATTGTCGACTTGGCCGATCTCAAGTCCATTGGCAATGTGCTCAGTAAGCCGCAAAGTTATTCAAATTCCATAGTTTCAGTGTCTTAACTTTCAAACTATTTACTTGCAGCAAGTGGCTCGGCTACTGCAACTGCCACGGCAAGCGGTAAACCGCAGTCCAAAGCCAAGCCACAGCTGGTCAATGGTGGCTTCAAGACGGCCGACGATGGTCGTCTTATCATTAGCGATAAGGCGCTACGAGGTCAGGGAAAAAATAATGATGATGATGATGGCTCCGATAGCGAAGACGCATCGGTGGATAGCGGTCATGAGCCAGGTAATAATGGCAATGCCAAGCGTGGCATGGAGGATGACTCCAGCGATGAGGAGGAACTGCATCAGGCAACTAGCGCCAAGCGCAAGCGTCAGTCTAGCGATGCATTAAGCATGCGCTCGGGCAAAACGAATGCCAGCACACGCAAGGGAATACATCGTCCTCTTGGTGGCGCCGCAACACCAGCCACAGCCACTGATGCCATGTCTATGAAATCCGGCGGCGGCGGAGGTGGACACTCAAAGCAAGCGGGCAGCGAGTACAGCAGCAAAAAGGCCAAGGGCGACATGAAGCAGCGCGGCAAACTGGATCCCTACGCCTACATACCGCTCACAAGGAATACCCTAAACAAGCGGTAAGTTTGTGTCCAAGTCAAGATCATGGCCTGATCTGCATCCAATTAATTGTTGTTATTTGCTTACCTGCAGCAAACGTGCCATGAACTCACGCAAATTCAAGAGCGTTGTCCGCGGCGCTGGATCTGGAGCTGGCGACACATCAACAGGCGGTGGAACATCACGTGGTCGTGGCCGTGTTGGCAAGAGCTACAAGTAGTGCGACGGCAATTAAGCGGCATCATAAAGATAATTTGGATAACTACTTTGTATAATTTGCTGTTATTTTGCTTAACTATATATATATATTAACTATATATATAAATATGTTTATATGCTGTATAAACTTAAATGAATGTTTGCGCATGCACAATTGTAACTGGGGATTGTAACTCGATGAACCTGAATATATAAACATAATATATGCAAGATGTATTCTATGAACTCGCTTAAGGGAAGTAATTTAAAATACTTTCTTCTTTTATTCAGCATATTTAATTTTTGAAGACTCGCTTTTCAGAGAAGTAAAATTTGTTTGCAACTCAAGTTAGATTTTAGCATAAATATACAAAATAGGTGTGTGGAAGAGGGCTAACTATATATATATATAACCGATATGAGTTCCACTTAGTTCGAATTTTCAGCTGACACTAAATTTATGCCAATTTGGTGAACATAATCTGTAAAACACAAAGACTTTAAAAAAAAAAAAAATTTTATATTACTTAGCGCAAAGATTCTTGAATTTTTGTTGACTGCATATCGAGCGCAAGAGATCTTTAGCATATATCCAAAGTAATTTACCTTTATTAATCAGAATAAATGCATATATTTGTAGTGGGCTTATGTGTTTATTTGACCTGGTTCGTCATTCTATTTACATACGTATTTTATTTAGATGAAGCTAATATATTTATATCAGGTATTTAGTATTCTTAAGTCTTGGCACAGTCAATGCCCTATAGTTGCATTAGGAAAATTCGCTATATAAGCCCATATATATATATATATGTGTGTGTGTGTCGAGCTAAACGGTAGCTTGAGGTTTGAGGGATAACAGAATTGTAGTCTTCCAATTTTGTGATTACAATTTTGAATTTTGCATTAAAATTTCGTTGGAATCTCTTTGTTCTGAAGCTAATTATCTTTAAAAGTCATTATTGATTAAGGTTAATCAACTTAAATGTGTATTATAACACTTAGTTAGATATAAGTTTTGGTTGAGTTCTGCCAATTGTTTAAGTGCTCTCGCATTGTTTTTCAATATGCGTGCGCTCCCATTCACCGTTGGGATCCAATCCCAACATGGTCTCCTCAATGAAGTGCAGTTTGTTATTGGCATCGACCAGAATGAGGGAATGGGTACGGCTGCCATATCCGTGCTCCTCGATGTGCACGTTTAAGGCGCTAAGGCCCTGGCCCCAGCTTGGGGCACGTCGCTTCAGCTCCCCATCTGGCCAGAACTTGTGCTTGTTCTTGAGCAGCTGCAGCAGCTCAGCACTCAGTGTGGCCACATCCGAATGGCCATGTTGGCTCACAATCTGTTCGAATTGCGTCTGGCCATGGCGCACCTTCTCGAAGGGACTGTCGGGCAGGCTGTTGCCAAATCCATAGCATTGTCCCTGCTGAAAGGACGCCAACGTCGGTGGCACATTGCTCAACAGTTTGATTTGCGCCGGCTTCGTGGAGTCGCTACAATTAAATAAAGACAAATGAGTATTGACGTAATAGCATTGATCAGAATCAGAATCAGAGTCGGAACTTTGGCTTACCCAATCTCAATGGAAACAAAATTGAAGGCACTGTATTTGTTGCAGTCGGCCAACAGATGCTGATTATAATTGTTAATATCGTATTGCCCAGCCGATTGACGCACATAGTCCGCCACGATCATGCCGCGTCCTAATAAGAAATGTTTGTTATTTGATTGGCGCTCTTTGTTCGGATTGCTTTGGCAGCAGTTGTTCTTGGTTATATTATGCGGTTGCAAAATGTTCTTGTGCGCTTCGAAACAAACAAAAAATGGGTGCGTTATCAGTTATGAGTGGGAAGGGAAAGAAGAGGAATATCACTTTATGCAGGCTATCCTAAGCGATATTTGGCAATCAATCTTCTAATCGATAGCGATGGAATGGATCGGTTGCTTGAAATTAATAAGTTTTGGCAAATTATTAAATATTGATTTATTTTAAAGCGATTGCCAAACAATATTGCAAAGCGCAGATTGTGATAAGTGATTTTGCAATGTTTTTTTTTTAATGTCGTCGCTGATCAATTTCCAAGCGTGTCCAACTCTACGGTGAATAAAATGAGTATAATGCCAACTAGTTTGAGGACGGTTAGTGAGTGAACATGAATGTTGTGTTTACCGACTGCATCGCGTGGCTTTGGCTCCCCCGTCAGATTGAGCAATGCGCCTACTTTGAAGATGCCCCCTTCGCTGCCAATGGCCAGCCATGTGCCACCTTCGCGTCCCGGCTCCAAATCAATGCCTGCAAATTTGTAATTTAGCTTTAATTAATTAACACGTTTTAATTAGCTTACCTCCGTAGCAGTGCTGGGCATTTGACCATTTGGCGGCTGTTTGTGTGTCGCGGGCAAAGAACTCATCCCGATTGGACGCCAGGATCAGTTTGTAGCCCGTTGGCTTTGGCTCTGAGTTTACATAGAAGAATATGACGCACATCGTTTGAGGGTTTGAATTTGACTAGATTGGGTTCACGTTTACGTTTAATGCGAATGCATATTAAGTGGAGCGACGGCAATGGCTAAAGTCCCAGTTTCAGTCTCTTTTTTGCTTTGTTCCAGAATTACAAATGATTTATCAGTCAAGTTATCGCCGCTTTGAATAATCTTATCCGTTTTTTGTGTGTTTTGTGGTTGCTGTGTGCCACTCGCCCTCTCAATTTACGATTTGCAATCAAATGGACAAATATGGCGATGTGACCAGACAAAAATCGGATGAAATTATGCTATGTAATTGTGTCAACACAAATATACGTATTTAACGAAATAATTTATTTGTTTTTAATTTGCATTGATCAGCTGTTTATGTTTGCCAACTGGTCAACAACGTATGTATATCGAAGTCGATAAGACGCTTATCGATAATTGTAAATTGTGCTTGCTCAGCCCTGGCCACATTGGCCATCTTTCACCAGTCCGGCAGCACCACGCAACCAGTTGAATGCAACAAAAGGGCAAGCGTCGTACTGATATTCCATCAATTATTTTCCTTTTTTCTTTTTTTTTCGTGTGTAAAACGTGTTAACACTGTCGCAGCATATGCGCAACGGTCGTGAATGCAGCTGGGCACTGTTTGAGCATGAAATGCATGCACGCCAAGCCAGGTTGAACAGATATCGAAACAATTTCAAGGCAGACACAATTAAACCACACACGCACGCACACATACACGCGCAAAGCGTGTATAAACATATGAGGAAAGCATTGAAGAGAAATCAAAACACGACAATAACAACAAACACAACGTGAATAGTGAACAATAATAATAATAATAATATAATTGTTATATCAAAAAACACAAGACGTCTGAAAAAAGCGACAGGAGGCTGGTGAACGAAACACCAAGAACGAACTGTCTTCGTTCCTGCGTCAATCGTGAATAAAAAGAAAGAAAGAAAAAACTATTGTCACTAAAAATAGCAATAAATACACAGCGAACCCGCTGCCGCTGACGTTGACGTCGTTCGGACTTTGGGTTAGTCAAGTTTGTTGGTTAGTTACCGCTAGCCTGTTGGCCCAGCAAGCAGCGCAGCCGCTATAAACAAACAAAACAGACACACCAAATAAACAATACATAATATATAAAAGTGCAATTATAATATAGGGTTAAGTATTTGTTTTTTTTTTTTCGTTTGTTTGTCAACACACAAAATACAAAATAGAGAGAGATAACAAAGTAACAAAAACAAAACCCAACCACAACAACAACAAGACACGATGCTTTTAAAATGTACAAAAACCAGTGGAGCCGGCGTCGCGGGTTCCGGTTCCAGTTCATCAATGCAGGCGACCACAACGTTTGCGGCGCGCGGAGGAGGAACAGGTTTGTTTTTTGGACTTTTTTTTTGTATATTTTTGTTTTCTTACATATTTTCTTATTTCTACATCTTTTTTAACTTTACTTGGCACTTATGTACCTTTACCTTAACAGATACACAGACACAGATACATATTTATGTTATGTCTATATGAGAAACTCGCAGATAAATGATTTTCATTTTGATAACGACACATTGCAACAACAGCAACAAGAACAACAGCAACAACAACAATAATAAACAAGAGCAACATCAATAATAGCACTAATAGACTCTTGTTCGCCTCTGATTGACGCAACACAGAGAGAGGCACGTGTGGCCACCATTGAGAGCGTCAACAGCATTGCACAGTGGCACAGTCGATCACTTTGCCAATCACTTTACTTTTGTGCATTTGGCCAGTGGTGTTGTCCCACTGTACGACATCGTCTGCAATGTTGGCAGCACTTTCGGCTCGTATATACATAAATACATATGTATATGGATATTATTCTTGGATTGTTGGTGGCAGAGTGGGGGTAGACGGTGGGCGCAATGTTGTTTGCTTATCCCACTCGACACACGTGGCAACAACAACGAAACTGAAGTACAATACTTTCAGTTCAATTGAATCTATGCGTGTATGCAAGAGCATGACCGTAACATACCCTTTAAAACTTGACATTTGGAGGCAAACAAACAGTGAAAACAATATTGTGAGCCACAGCTTATAAGGTTACTTTCCTACTCATGACTCGATTAAAGTTTTCTTCTTGATTTCCGTTGGGGGGAGTGCTTGTGGGTGGTGGGTGGTGCGAGGTGGCTTCGCTCAACCTCCTTGCTGTTGTTGATTGCTAATGTTAATTGAATACAATTTAATAGTTTGTACAAGGTCGTGCCAGGAAGTGGCCCCCTGGTGCGCAGAACCAAACTAAGTCCTTGACTATCTGATACCAATGCCAACAAAAACAACAACAGCAGCAACAATGATTGCCTTCGCAACTGAAAAAGAACATCCATGTGGCTAAGCTAGCAAACTCTGGGGAGTGTCTAATTCACTTGAATCCTTGCCATGTATCCATGTACATTCATATACATGGGCAAGCCAAGGGAATTGCAGTTTGGCGGCCATCCTAAATTGCTCTTCGCTTTAATAAATATCTGGCGAATGCGAAGCGAATGAATTAATAGAATTCTTGTTGCGACGCATTTGTATTTAACTTGTGACTTCGATTTCGATTTTGATTTTGAACTTGAATTTTTTTTTAGTGCATATTTAATAAACTGCATCGTCATGATTTTTGTTTTCCAAAAGTTATCGAAAGCTTAAGAAATTCACTGCTTCAGTGTTTTATCCGGTTATCGATACCGGTTCCGGTTTTACAAGATATTTTTAAAGATAAGATCGCACGAGAATTTTTCTAATGTTCGGAAGCGTACAATCTAAACAAAATATGCATCAATCAAATAATTATTTGAACCGAAAAAAAATTAAGATCTATTTAACTTTGTAATACGTATTAGTCACTACAGTGCATATTCGTGATACTGAATTCGACAGTAATACAAAGTAATAACAAATTGTGAAATCGTGAGTCACTTTCTGTGCGGGGGACTTTTCTATGTAGCCTGTTTTGTTGTCTCTGATTGATAGATCTGCATTCTGCATAATTCACATAAAATTCTCACATACTTTAACTTTGTTTGTTTGTGTGTGTGTGTGTGTGTGTGTGTGTGTGTGTGTGTACTTGACTCTCTATCGGTAATTACCCGCCAAGTCTCGTGACTAGACTGAGTCAACAGATCAGGCCAACAGACGACGCTATTAGCCTCCACAGCTCTACGGTTTGTCATCTGCGTAATAAATGCAATTTTCTGCTCTCTAGATTAGTTAATGATCAAAGGGGCGTTGGCGCGGACTTTGCCGTTGAGCGTATCACCTGCATAGATACCCTGTTTTTAATGTGGTAATCAAAATAATAAACTAATAGCTGCGACTGAACATCAACTGGAACAGTTCTTTGAGTGTTGATTTTATAGAACCAGAAACCAGAAACTAAAATCATCAATCAATCATCGTAATCAACATTTTGTTGCTGTTGTTGTTAAAATTACGACTCGATTGAAAACTTTTGCAAATTAAAAACAATTGTTTGGTCTTAAAAACTTTATTCCAAATTCGCATTATTTCCAACAGTTTTTTAGTCAGCAAATTTAAGAATTGCTTTACACATTTTTGTGTTGCACTGCGGACAGAGTATTAAGCAATCGGTTGCAGCTGCAGCTTTTCCACTTGTTTCCATTTGAGAAGAGAGTATAATAATTTCAAGTTGGCTAATCAATCTAATTGCGTATACAATTGTGCGCCACACAATTATATGGCTCTCATTCACTCTCACCGCCATTTTGTTCTCCAAGTAGTCTGCAGTATACATATACATATACATATACATATACATATACATATGCATATACAGCTGTGGTGAAAATGATAGTTGTGATTCTCCTTAAAATGCTCAATATTTTCATAGCGCCTCTCAGATTCCGTTTGATTTCTTGGACCATTTTAGTTTTCCACGTATCTTCTCACGCCCATTTTTTTTATGTTGCTAAAAGCGAGAACTCTTTAAAAAATCATCAAGCTTAATCAAAATTCTGTTCTATAAATGACAATGATTTAAAATAAAAATACAATCGATACTTCATACCGGAAAAATATTGTCAAAAATATGTGTTGACAAATTCTTAAATTGCACTATTATAAGAAAAAAGCCTTTGCAATGTGACATCGATTTTTGCATAATTTTTTTAAATTATATTTTTAATATTTGTTTTTTTTTTTCTAGTTTTGCAAAACATAAGTGTATAGTACTCTTATTTTGACCGCAGCTGTACATATACATACACCTCTATGTATGTATGTATTTGTTTTCGGCGAGCCCACCTCAATTAAATGGTTGTTGGGCTAAACTGGCACTGGGAGCTCTTATTGTTGTTGTTGTCGTATTCGTTGTTTTTGTTGTTGCCATCGTCACATGAAAGTCGGCAATGCATCATTAGATATTCGTCTATCTTCGTCTCCTCTTCTTCCTGCCTTGTTATTCTTGTTGTTGTTGTTGTATATATAATATATCTATTGTGTTTGCCCCCTCCCTCAAATTCAACGTCAGCAAAGAATCTCAGTAACTAAACAAAATGATTAGTGATTGTTGTTGTTGTTGTTGTTGTTCTTGTTTTTACTGTGGCTGTTGTTGTTTTCTATAAGGTTTTACCCAGTGTCTTTGCGACGAATAAATTTAATACTCTAATGTGCTGAAAGTTAATCCAGCTATCAGTTACCCTATCAACACAAATAGCGACTAGAGAAAATATATTTTCTCTCAATCTCAAATCTCAAAGTTTCTAAATCTATCAATCAATCCATCAATCTTTCGATTTGCATTTTTTTCACTTTTGATTTTAAATTAAAATCTTGCTTACAGTTAGATATTGGATTTTTATTTGAAATACTTAAGATCTTGTACCAACCCTGATATTATCTTGAAATTAAACAAAATCTGTCAAAGTCTGTAATTTAAACTAAAACGAATTTCCATCGTTTGTTTCCATTCTTGAAGACAATAAATATTTATACTTACATAATTGGTCGATTAAGTTATTGAATTGGATTTTTATACTCTGAACCCATTAAGAATGGCCTAAAAAGGTTAAATAATGTTGTAATATGCAGACGGAAGCATGAGCTACTCCATATAAGTATATATTTAATCTTGATCAACACCACTAGCCGAGTCGATCTAGCCATGTCCTTCTGTATGAGCGCATATCAGACACTATTAAAGTTAGAGTCTTCAAATTTGAAGTTTGTTTTTTTTTTATCGATAACAAATCAATATTAGATATTAATACAGATTAAGCATCAAGCTTCGATTTGTTCAAACAAAACATTGCTTGAAATTCACTCATCTTTTTGTCGCATAAACATGTGGTCTGCTTGACATTCTTACATTAAACTGTAGCTTGAATCGCTTACAAAAAATTGCATGCTTCTCTCTGATATAAAATGTGCTATTAATTGTTGTTGTTGTTTACATGAACATTAAATTTCATTGCTTTGCTCGATTATTATACGTTAACAACAACAACAATGACAAAAACAATTGTCTAAAATTAAAACGCAACACTGCAATATGTTTCTTGGAAATATTAAAGGCAGCCAGACAACAACGCAACGTGGAGAACACGAGGGTCACTTTTACTGAACTCACCCCGTCAACAGTCTGTCTATTACAAAGGCCAATTGGGATTGGATGCCCCGGAAATGCCTCTGAAATGCAAAGCTGAATCTGTAATCGATGTGTTGATCGATGCAGTTTTGTGAATCCCGTCGTAGCCGGTTTAATAAGCACATGCCAACTGCGTTGAGAAACACATTTGAATCAACTACGAGTATGTAGGATATTCAGATAGATGCCAAAGTGGAGAAAAACTCTCTTTTAAGCTCTTTCTCTTCTTTCGCCGAGTGACGCAAACGGAAGTTGTAAAATGTTGTGACGTCAATTGTTATTAATCCACACTTCGGTGCTAATTTGTTAAATTAATTAATAATATTAATGAAATGACAACGACTTCGAGTCGATTCAGATTCGAAAAAAAAAACAAGTTGTTACCGAAAGCAACTAACACATAGCTCAGTCGAATAAGTCAC